GTGCAAATGTGGCGGGAAGGCAGGTACAGGGCAGCTTCGCTTCTGCACTCTCCGGCGACCTTCCTCCCCCTCCTCCTCTCGTAACCCCCTGGCTAGCTGTGGCTGATCTGGGAGCATGCGCATGCATGGGGAGACCCTCCTTAATTGAGCCGCTGCCCTCCCCACACCCACCTTTCCTGAGCTTTGGCACTCGCTTGAGGAGAGGAGGGTCTCCCTGTGCCTGCGCACGCTCCCAGCTCAGCCACAGCCGGCCAGGGGGCCACAAGAGGAGGAGGAGGGGAGGAGAGTGCAGGAGCGAAGCAAAGCCACATTTGCGCATAAGGCAGCCTTCGCTTCTTTCCGCTTCGGGCTGGAGTGCAAAGAAGAAATGAGGGACGGGGCCAACCAGTGATGGGACAGAGAGCCGGGGCAGAGGGCCCAAAGAGCCGCTTGTGGCTCTGGAACTGTGGGTTGCCGACCCCTGGTCTACGCAATCTAACCCACAGGATAATTGTCCTGTACTATCAGTTTAAACCAACATGTATTTAGCAAGTAGGAGCCTCAGTGGCTTAAAGACACTGGATCTGTTCCGGCAGTTCGAGTTCTACCACTGCATGGTGGGGTGAGCTCCCATCACTTGTCTCAGCTTCTGCCCACCTACCATGTTTCCCCGAAAATAAGACCCTGTCTTATACATTTTTTTTGAACCCCGAAATAAGGGCTTGGCCTTATTATTGGGGGAGGTTATTATTTTGGGGTTGCAGGAGGCAGCGAGCGTGGCCACCTCATGGCTGCTCCTGTGTTGTGCTGCTGTGGCAACGCTCATCAGCTGTTCGCTGGGGCAACCAAAGGTGGGAATCTCCCCGGTGTTCTTGGCACTCGCCCGCCTCCCATCCATCCATCCATCCCTCACCTGCAAACTCCTGCCCCGCTCCCGCCTCTCTGCCGGGTGACTCCTGGCAGCCCCAGACGCCCAAAGTCTGCACCCACCCGGCTCCCTTTTCCACAGCACCCGGCTCTTTATCGAGGGGGGTGGCATGTGGGGCGGGGGAGAAGCAAGACACGTGGGGTGAGACGTGGCTTGCTCCTCTTTCTGTCTCTTCTCCCCCCCTCACCAGGGACTGGGGAGACACAAGATGCGCATCTTACCTGCCTTGCAGCTCTGTCGCGTGTCTCGCTCTTGTCTGCAGGCAAACATTTTGTAGGGTAAAAAAAACCTCTTGCGAGTTCAATCAAACTTCTCGAACTCACGAGAAGTTTGGTTTTACCCTACAACGTGTTTGCCTGCAGACAAGAGTGAGACACACGACAGAGCTGCAAGGCAGGTAAGATGCGCTTATCGTATAATTAAATACTTCAAAACTAATGTGTTGACAATATTAGATTATTAATTGATTGATTACTATACAACTTTATGAAACTTTTTACTCTACTTAAACCTTTTTGTTCTTCTGCAAGGAATTCACTTTTGTTCCACCCAATCTCAAATTTACTTAAGAGAAACAAGCAATATATTTCAGCCACAATATCTATTAGTCTAACTGGCTTGTAATTGCTAGAGTCCTTTTTATTCCATTTTTAAATATACCTATAGATGCTACTATTGCCAGTTTGAATACAATGCATATGGCAGGTGTTATATCTATGTGAAAATCAATATGCCAATAGTTTATCCACAAATAGGATATTTTTTGAATAGCTGGATAGCTGGGAGAAAATCCTCTTCAATGACCTTATTGCTTTTCAGGCCTTGTATGAGAAATTTGAACAAGAACGTAAGAGAAAAAAACATAACTGACCTGTTTGCTAATATGGAGAAAAGCAACTCTTGAATTCCATGGAGAAGACATGATTGCATCTATTGCTCACCCACCCCTCACTTTACCAGAGAGAGAAAAAACACACACAAACCTGTGGGACTTTGTAAGGTGCTGCTAATGTTGACGCCTGGATGGAGATGTCCCTGCTAGCTGCATCAAGAAGAGCCAGGAGGTTCTCCTTCCTTCCACAGCTGTAATTGGGGACATTGGCTTCTCCAATGGAGAGCATGTCCAGCAAGGCATCTGAAGTGTGTAAAGTGTTCAAATAGTTGTCATGGAGGTTGTAGCCCAGTGTGAGGTTGTGCAGGATCTGGGAGTTCTTGTTGACCACTTGAATGTTGAAAATGAATGGTAGGGTGAATATAAAATGGTAAGAAGCCACACTGTAGAAAAATGTTCAAGTTATTATCAACAGTAACAAGTAACTTTTTAAAAGAATTTATTCCTTTTTGCCTCCACAAGCCTACTGAGTCTTAAGCCAATATTGATCCAAAACCAATAATCGGTTATAGAAATCTGGGAATGGGCTGGGCAGAGGCAACTACAACTGTTTCAGTCCCTCCTTTACACAAAATGAATTCAAGTAATGAATTCAGGAGTTAACAGGGAGAACAGAAAATAATCTGCATTGCCTTCAGGTTTTTTAACCCCATCTTTGGATTTGAGTCTATTCTACAAAATAAAAAAGGAGGCAAGTTATAGAAATCAAAATCATTCAGGAAATTAGACAAGTCCTATAATATAAAAGTAAGTGAAATAAGACAAAAAAGAAGGAGAGTGTTAGGACTGCAAATGGAGGGGATGCAACTCCATCACCCTGAATGACTTACACATGAGAAGGTATAGAAGGAGCCCTGTGGAAAGGCAACATTATAGGTGATGTTATTGTTTCAGTTGCGACTATACCAATGAGATGGTCTCCTGGCCTGTAAAAGCTCCATGGTTGTTTTCCATCCTGGTGGTCCAAACTCAGCGGGCATTTCATTCTCAGCTTCCCAGAGACTGGATGGGACAAAAACAGCATCAGAAGCAGAAGAAGGAGGTCCATAATTCATGGAGCTTTATTAATCCTCTTCCTGTTCCTAACACCCACAGCAGGAACAGTTGGGAGAATTCAAAGCACTCTCAGAAGATGGAAATGCCAGCGACTTTCCTGATATAAACAGAAAAACACTCAGCTTCACCTGGAAAGGAGAAAATGATATAATCAAGAGCACAGATCCTGCCTGTCCCAAAACTTGTTCCCACTGACTTTGATCTAACAAATTTATCCTTTTCTGATGCAAGATCCTTTGCATATGGCTTCAGTCTGCTCTCTCCATCACAGGTATGGAGATCTCCAAGGCCCAGATAATCATTATTAATTACAAGGAGAAGCAACTTCTCCTCTTGGGATCCTGAGCTTCTTCTGGGCTCCATGTGCAGAGGAGAGGATGGAGAAAAGCTTGTTTGTGAAAAGCCACAACTACACTCCTGGGGTCAATTCCTGTCGTGGTTGTGGTCCTTCCTGTCAGGACGTGTCAGGAAAGTGATGCTGGAGGAAGATCGTTCAATAACAAGGGAATTGACCTCTGCTGTCCTTCAACCGGGTCTCTTGTCTCCAGGGACTTGCAGGGGAAGGTCACCCAGAAGTATGGAGTTTGGTGCCACTCTAGGTTGGTGACCCTTAACTCTTGTGCTGCCTTTCTTCTAATGCTAAGGAAGCAATCAGTTCCCTTGGATTCTGCCTAAGGTGAAGAGTGGGGCCTCTTTGGGCTTTTCTTTTATATCAGAACTTCATAAATTGGAGCTGATTTTAAAAAGGGGGACCCCTCTGACGTTCCCATCTCTGAGGCTGTGGGGTGAAGCCCCCTTCCCTAAAAAGCCTCCGAGTGCTTTGAAGCTGCTCTTGGGGCACCTGAGTCCCTGGTTCATTGGGATCCATTGTTGACAGATTGTGTCTCTTCTCTGGATGAGGAAGACGGAGACGTCCCCCTTTGCCCAGAAGGGAGAATTGGGGAGGGGGCTGATCTGAAGGAAGAGGAGGGTCCCCATCCCAGGTTCTCCTCTCAGGGCCTGGCTAGGAGGTCCTGGGGGGCTCTGGGTGGAAGGCCAGGCGGAGGCCTGGGAAGGGGCTCCTCTCCTCCCGGAGGGTCTCTGCCGTGTCTCCCTGGAGCCTGGAGGGGCCCAGAGGGGAGGGAGCCAGAGAGAGACGGGGGCCCAGGAGAGGCCCAGGGGAGCGGGGTAGGAGCGGTTGGGGCCGCTGTACTCTCAGGGAGGCCGGGGGGACCTTTCCCCACACTGGGCGGAGGAGAGTCTGGGCTGAAGAGGAGCCTCGCAGGAGGAAGAGCCTCTCCGGCTTCTCTCCCATGGTCTCCATCCAGGCTCCCACCTTCCTCCCCCCCAGATCCAGAGGCTTCGGGGCCCCCAAAGAGCTTCCTGGGCCGATCGGCCAGCAGGTCCCCCCTGAGGAGAGAAGCCAGGATGGAGGCTCTGAGGGGGGAAGGGAGGCCTGGCCCTTCCTCTCCCCTCGGCTCCCCCGGCCCTGCCTCGGCCTCTGCCCAGCAACGGAAGCAGAAGGAAGAAGGTGGAGGCTTTAGGTCCTCTGCTGATGGAGGAGGAAAAGAAAAAGTTTATATATATATATGTGTGTTAAAAAAGAGGGAAAAATTCTTCATTCCCTGGTTGCCCCCCAGTGTCCCATATCCCCCTCCTGCCCCCGTGAAATCAGGGAAAAGGGGATGGGGGGGTTGGACCTCCCCCCCTTGGGGGCCCTTCAGTGGAGGTCATCTGTCCGAGTGTCCAGTGCAGGGCCTCCCAGGGCAGGTGGCTCAACCTCAGCAAAGGCCTCTGGACTTCAACTCCCAGAATCCCCTGTCCAGCACTCGGGGTCCTCTTTCCCTGCTTTAGCTGTCCCTCACGCTGCCTGTAGGGGCAGCCTACAGTCCGGCCTTTCAGCCCCAGCTGGCCCCCACAGGCAGCGAACAGGACAGCTAAAGCGGGCAAAGACCCCGCAGCCTCCTCCATTTTGTGGCCTCTTTTTTCCTGAGGTGATTCTCCCTCCCTCCATTTTGAGGGGAGAAAAAGGCTGAGGGAGATTTTCTCTCCTCTCCAGCCAGGAGTCGGGAAGGTTCCCCAAAGGGGGGGAGGGAGGTTGGGGGGAGGGGGAGACCAGGGAAGGTGGCTAATGGAAGAATTACAGGACTGCTGTTCATCTTTTCTGCACTTTCCACTTAAAACGAGAAGCCGGAATAATCCTCCTGCTTGATCTTCCAACCCTGATTAAACCAAAGCAGCGTCAATGAAGAAGGGAAAGGAAAATGACTCTGTGTGAGGCTTCAGGACAAACACACCCAAATAGACACGTAGGAGGAGAAGAGAGTCAGGAGAGTTAAAGGCCTCGTCCTTTTTTCCGGCTGTTTGGGGAGGAAAGAGACGGACTTTCTATCCATCCATTCCTTCTTCTCCCAGGCTGAACCCTCCTCAATCCATTCTTTATTCCAGGGATCTCCGGCCTTTAAAGGAAAAAATAAGCCCTGATTATCACCCTGAAAATCAATGGGAACCTTGAAACTGGAAACCTTCATGGAGACTTCCAGAGATCTCTCCGTGTCTCTTCAGAGGATCCACCGGTCACTTTGATTCCCCTCCTCCCACTTGGAGCCCCAGAGATGGCTTTGGATGCTGGTTTCCAGAATTCCCAGTGAGGCCATGGCTCAGGATACTGGGGCTGCTCCCCAGAGCAGAAAGGCTGGGCGTGAATCCCATCAAACTGAAGAAGGGAGAATGTGGCTGTGACCCTCCCTGGGTTCCCTTCTCTCTCTCTCTCCTGCCAGGCGTTGGGAGGAAGAATGGAGGCTGCTGCTTTCATGAGGCTTTTTCCAAGTCCTTTGCTCAATGTTGGCTTAGAGAGTTCTAAGAACCAACCAGGATGGCTTCCAAACCAGGATCAGGGTCTTAAGAGTTATAAATCAGTCCAATTAATTGTGGCACTTCTGATGGCCATAACAAATCACAGTTTCTGCATTATGCAATCACTGGTGGTCTCTTCAGGTGTGCTTGTTCTTTTCCAAAATGGAGGCAACATGTGGAGAGTTGTTGGCCTGCATCCGTGTTTTTAAAACTTTAAGATGAATGGACTTCAACCCCCAGAATTCCCCACCCAACAATGCAGGGACTTCATCATGCTGGCCAGAAAATTCTGGGAATTAAAGTCCGATCATCTTAAAATGCCAAGTTTGAAAAATGCAGCTCTACGTTCCTCCCTTCTATAAGGAGTTAAAGCCCTGCACCAAGAATTGGCTAACTCACATGTTGCTCAATAAGCCAGGCACAATTTTTTTTCTCCCTCTCTCTCCGGGCAACCCCGGATCCCCCTTGGGAGACCCAGCCCTGCATGGCTTCTCCCCCACAGGAGCCTCTCCTGGAAAGACACGGATCGTTTCCAGGACTCAGAAGATGGAAGTTGGAGGGAGATTTTGCTCTGCTTTCCTTCCCCAACACGAGGCTCCCCAGCTTCCTTCTCCCAAGAGGGGCTCCCCACTCATCCAGGCAGAGTCCTGTCTGGCATCCCTGCAAGAGCCCCCTTGCCTGGCCTGGGCATGGGAAAGGGAGGCAGGGGAACATGGGACATGGGCTTCCTCATTCCCTGGTCTCAGAGAATGGAAGTTTGAAGGGGATTTTGCATAACAGCTTTCCATATCCCTCACTCCCTCCCTCACTCCCTCCTTTCCAGGGGTGAGTTGCTTCCTTTATTTCTCCATCTCTTTTCACTTGGTTTTCTCTCACTTCTCCCTCTCTCTGTTTGTCTGTGCATGTGGGGTTTTTTTTCCCAACTATGCAAAGTTCTGATAAGTAATTTTTCACTATTTTTTCATTTAGTTCTTGGAGTCAGGCCACACTATTACATCAGCCCTTTTGTCATTGAGCATCAGCTTTCAAAGTAAAGTTAAGTCTGGCTCCAACTCAACAAGCAGATCCGTGACATGCTGAGGCATTAACTATCCCCCGAGGTTTTCTCTCTAATTGCTATGCCAACAAATGTCACATTTCTTTTTATCTTCAGCCACAGGTGCCGTGTATTCCCCCTGGGGCCAATTTCAAGGCTGTAGATCCCAAAACTCTCAATTCTAGATGACAGATTTAATTCCATCTCTACTCTATCATTATGAACCACGTGAGGATTATTTCCCTCTCACTTCCCTCCAGAGAAATGCCCAACAATCTCGGAGTTCAAGAAGTCATTGAATTATCCAGGGATCCCTCCTGAGAGGGAGAATTATTATCCTCCGAGTTTCTGCTCTGTTCTTTGGCCGAATCCTCCCAGGAGACTTTGGGCAGAGACCCAGGGAGTTGGGGGCAGCTTTTCTCTTCTCCCTGAAGGCCCCAAAAGGAAACTTTTCCTGCTGGAGAACTTGGCTTCAGGCAAAAAGTTTCACTGAGCAATTTCAGACTCCGGACTTCCCTCCCCACTGAAGATCAGGGCTGCCTGGATCCCTTCCCATCAAAGGGGGATACTCTGGGGAAAAGAAGAGCTGAGGGCAAAGGGAGCCCTCTTTCTGCCACCCAGGATCACCCCGCAAAAGACCCCCCTTTTCCATCTTCCCAAAAGAGAGCTCTGCTTTCTTCCAAAGGGTGCAAGTTTCTTCTTGAGTCCCTTGTATTGTCCCCCTTCACCGCCCCCCCCCCGCAAGCCCCTCTTTATGGTGTAGAAGGGTTGGGGGTCCTGGGCCTTCCATGTTAAATGTGTTCAAGGATCATGCCCAATAACTCCATAAGCAGGTATTCATTAAATCAGATATTGTTTATTAATTAAGCATCTTATCATTACAGGTACAAGTCTGGAACTGAAGCAGGACCGCATGGCTGACCCTTAAGTACCCCTGGGCGTGGCTAAGGTAAGGAGGGGTTATTGGGTTAGGGTGGACCTTGGGGGCTGGCTTGTCCAGCCTCCATGCCTCTAGCTCTGGATCAGAGGCAAGGCATTTATTCCTGACAAAACCCCCTCTAAATGCCTGGCCGAGGTGTCCTCATGTGGTGCATACCTGAGGTGTCCTTTTCAGGAGGACACCTAATTTTGATGTTAGGTACGTGTGCTGCTTATTTTGCAATGGTTTGGTTAGAATGTCCGCTGTTTGTTCTTCTGTATCACAATGTACAACCCTTATGAATCCTATGCTTGCAAACTGTCTAACGTGTTTGTATTTTATATCGATATGTCTCGACCTTTGACCCACTGCTTCAGCCTTAGATATTTCCATGGCGGCTTTATTGTCCTCATGTATGATGATAGGATAGTTCGGTTCGGCCCATATGTCTGATAGCAGGTCATCAAACCAGACCAGGTTGTTGGCGGCCTTGGACAAACAAATATATTCGGCCTCTGTTGTTGATGTGGCTACCAGATCCTGTTTGCCTGTGTACCAATGTACTGGGCTGTTGTTTAAAAAGAATACGTACATCCCCAGCCCAGTCAGCATCTGCATAGCACGTGAGTGTGGGTGTTGTGGTGTTCTCGGGTTCTAGTGATAGGCAAGTGCCTGAGCTCTGTTTTAGGTACCTCAGTACCCTCTTGATGGCTTCCCAGTGGTACACAGTGGGTTTACCTACATGTCGTGATAATAAGTTGACTGGTAGTGCGATGTCTGGTCTGATCCAGTTCTCAATGTATAATAGGGAGCCTATGGTGGATCTGTATAATGTGTTGTCCTTGAACGCCTCAGCCTCATTGTACATGTCCTTCAAGAAGTCCGGTTGCATTGGTGTTTCACACCCCTTGGCGTTTGTCATGTTGCACTTATGTATAAGTTCCAAAATTTTGTCCTTCTGTGACAGTTGGAAACCTCTGTCTGTTTTTGTGATTTGTACCCCCAAATATTTATCTACCTTACCCAGTATCTTTAGTGTAAAATGTTTTCCCAGCTCACTGGCGAAGTCATTACATTTGCTAGACTTGTCACCGGTATACAATATATCGTCCACGTATATTAAAACATACTCGAGGGAACTGTCTGACTTCTTGGTGAAGAAGCAGTTGTCGGCCGAGGTGGGTGAGAATCCTATAGACTTCAATGTCTTGGACAGGCACTCGTACCAACGTTTCCCTGACTGTTTGAGTCCATACAGGCTCTGGTTTAGGATCCAGGTTTCTCCCTTCCTGGTGCTTTGGCTAGGTGGCGCTCTCACATATATTTCTTTATCGAGCTCGGCGTGCAGATAAGCGGTTTGCACATCGAATTGATGTACTTCTAACCCAAGTAGTGATGCAATAACCAGCGCACATTTTACGCTTTCAGCCCTGACTGTGGGGGAGTACGTTTCCGTGTAATCATCAGGGTATTTTTGGGTAAACCCCTGTGCCACCAGCCTAGCCTTGTAGAGTGTTTTGTTTCCCTCTAGTGTTTTAATTTTGTAGACCCACCTGGTGCCTATGGCTGTTTTTCCTGTTGGGACTTTGGAGGGAGTGTATACATTTAGTTCCCTCAGACTGTCCATTTCCCTCTCCATGGCTTGTTCCCACTTTTCTCTTTCCTCATCTGGTAACTTCAGTATGTCCTCGTATGTGTTGGGGGTTAGTTGGTTAGTGTGGAGGGATAACACATAGTCTCCTAACCTTTCTGGCTTTTTACCCCTGTTTGCCCTGATTGGCCTGTCGGGGGGTGTCTCTGTGTCGTGCATGTACCTAGCTTCTTTCTCTGTGAGTGAGTCCACTTTGATGTGTTGGTGGTTTCCTTTCCACCCCTTCACCGGTATTTCCTGCCTCCTGGGTTTGCTCTTTTCCTGCTCTGTACCCTTTCCTGTTTGGTGTTTTATCCCCTCTTGGTCATCCCCTGGTTCGTCCTTGCTAAGGGACACCTCGTTGAGGTGTATCTTGGACCAGTTGGCGTTTTCGTGGAAAACAGCAGTCCGTGATATCACAAAATTGTTATTGTTGTCTATGAACCTATATCCCTTCGTCCCTGGTTCATACCCCATGAACCTCAGTCTTCTGGATACCCTGTCTCCCTTATGTCTCAATTGTTTGGGGATGTGCATATCTGCTGTGACCCCGAATATGTGTAAGTGTGACACCTGTGGTTTCTTTTGATACATTAACTCGTATGGGGTTTTGTTTAGTACACTGGTCCATAGCCTGTTCAAAGTGTAATTCGAATAAATGAGTGCTTCTGACCAGAAATGCTGCCCTAGGCTGGCATCCTCTAGTGCGCACCTCATCATGGTCTGCAGTGTTCCATTTTTCCGTTCTACGATGCCATTTTGAAAAGCGGAAAACGGAGAAGACGTGTAGTGTATTATCCTGTGTGCCTTTAGCCATTGCGAGAAATCGCTTGACAAGAATTCAGACCCCCGGTCTGTCATTATTTGTCTGATCTTGGTATTATGTTGTGTCTCCACCCTTGCGTAGAATTCCTTAAATTTTTGGAATACTTCGCTCTTGTGTTTTAATGTGTATACGAAGCCATAGCGGCTGAAATCATCCACTATGGTCAGGAAGTACCTTTTCCTGTATTTGATGGAGGGCCTTAGTGGTCCCACCAGGTCCATATGTATGAGTTGGAAAACTGAATTAGTTGTGCGCACTGACTTTTTGGGCCTTGGTTTGGTTTTTAATTTAGAGCTCTTACAAATAGAACACTCGAGATAGTTCTCACAATCCTTTATTTTTACACCTTCAGAGCATTCCATCATTTTCTGCACCACAGGGAAACTAATGTGTCCTAGTCTTCTGTGTAACAGGTGTGCGCAGTTGTCATGCATTGGTTTCCCTATCGCTGGCTTTCCTTTCTTGGGAGTCCCCTGTTCACTTGTATCATCAGTGGTGTGTGCGTGACTAACCCCCTCTACTTCCCCACTTGTGTGTTCTGGGTTGTCGGGTTTAACCTTCTGGTGGTTGTTTACCTCTGGCTGCTTGTCCCTGACTGATTGGAAGAATGGCAGTTCCCCACTGATCACTACTTTCCCTATTCTTTTGCCCCCTCTAGTTACCTGTGCCTTTCCTTCCTTGAATGTCACCTCAACATTGTTATTCTTGCTTAGTTTTAGTGTGGCAAGGATGTTATAGGGTATATTAGGTACTAATAGTACTCCTTGCACTACTCCTATCCCTGGCACGTATGCGTTGCCTTTGCCTGTTACTTGCACATTGTTCTGGTTAGCCACTTTTATAATAAAACTTTCATCTGTGAATGAGGTTAGCAAGTTACGGTCATAAGTGGTATGGTTTGTGGCCCCTGAGTCCAACAGCCATGTGCCTTCCTCCCTGTCCTGGCCTATGTGTCGCTCTTGATCTCCTATGCCATACAGTGATCCGGTCTGGCTCTCCCTGGAGCTGTCCCTGTGGTTTCTCCTGTCCCTGGGGCTAGGGGAATCCCTACGCCTGTGTCTGTCCTCTGGTGAGCGTCCACTAGTGTGTCTTGCCCTTTGTTCTGGTCTGTCCCTTCTATGTGACCTGTCCCTGTCCCCTGTGTTTCTGGGACAGTCCCTTTTGTAATGGTTCCTTGACCCGCATAAGTAACACTCTATGGTACTGTAGTTCTTGCCCTGTGGCTCGGCCTTTCTGCTGGGCCTTTGCTCCCTGCGGCTTAGTAAACGGTCTTTCCTGATGCTGTCCTCAGCTATGAGTTTACTTGTTAGTAGTTCCAGTGAGAGTTTCCCTGACCCTAGGTTGTCTATCTGGGTGATAAATGTGTCCCAACTGGGGTCTAAGGAATTTACAATGATGCTTATCATGGTCCTCTCACTTATGACCTCCCCCCTTTGTGTCAGCTGAGTTCTGGTGGTGTTTAGTGACAATAGGTGCTCGCTCATTGGGGTCCCTGCTTTATGTTTGGTGGCATAGAATTCCCTGGATAACCTGGTGGTGCTAGCTACGCTTTGACAGTAGAATAGTTTGTGCATCCTTTGTATTACCTCCAGAGCAGTCAAGTGGTGGTTAATGCTGGGGTAAATACTGGGGGTAATGCTGGCAATGACAATACAGTATGCTTTGTGGTGTATGCAATCTAGTTCAAAAGTCCAGGGTTTTTCTGGGGGGTCTATAACTAGGGATAATAAATCTTCCTTTAGCAGGGTGACTTGGAGCTGCTGGTTCCAGTCCAGAAAATTCTCCCCATCTAGTCTCAGTTTGGGAAAGTCACTTGGCAAATTCCCTGAATTGTAAGTTAAATTACTTACATTATGTCGCTGTCCATGGTTCCTCACATAAGGATACTCGCAATAAGGCAGAGGAATGACTGTGGCAAGTCTGAACTGACTTGTCTCTATGTGCTTGCGTCGGTGTAGCTCTATGTCTTGTTCCGTTTCTCTTACAGGGATGCATTGCGCATGCGTGAGGTTCATTTCTGCCCAGCCGCCGTGGAGTGAGGAGCTCGTCCCTGCAGCTCCCGGGTGAAGGCCCCACCTTCCGGATGGGCCTCCGGTTCCTTCTTGGTCGGCCTCGCTTGCTTGGGATCATCGTGGATCGTCGTCTGGAGCCTCGGGAAGCGGTGAGGATCGTCGGTGGATGTCGGAAGTCTCGTTGGGGCCGCGAATGGTCCCGGATGGCCCGGCCTTGTGTGGGTGTTGCCTACGGGTGTCGGGCCGAGTCCCCTGCCCGCCGATGGACGTCCCCTGCCTGCGGATGGCCCCGTGGGCCATGGATCTGGTCCCGGTCGTCGGTCCGGTGAGTAGTCCCTTCGGTGTCCCGTTTTTAAGGGAAGGCTCCTTGGGAGCTCTGGGTGGCCCTGGGTCCATGCGGAAGCGGTCGGTTCCCCAGGGTGGGTGCCGGTGTCAGCCCTCTTCGTGCTAGGGTCCCCTTTGCGTTTTGGCCTAGCACTGGGGTGCGTGTTTGGTAGTTTCATTTTGTCCCCCAGGGCCGCGGTGATTAGTTCGATGGCTTGGTTGACTTCGGGCTCGGTAGGCGAGCCAGTAGGTTTTGGCTTTGGGCTTTCTTGTTTTTTGTATTTTTTGTAGTAGTTTTGGTCGGCTACTTTTGGGTAGGCCCCGATTCCCGCCATGAGATTTAAATCTCGGGAATCCATTGGTGGGTGGTCGGCCATTTTTGATGACGCTGCCTCCCAAGATGGCCGCCGTAAAAAGGGCGCTGTCAGGGCATTTATTAATCCCATGTTTGGCTCTGGGACTAATTACCCTGGTTTAGAGGAGGAGATGAATCGAGGCTTATCCTTGTTGCAATAATCTGAAAAGAAACGCGAAGGAAGGTTTCTAATAAAACTCATTTATTTGTTATAAAGAAAATAAAACACCTCACTAACTAAGAAAAGTTAATTGTTACATTTTTGAAAGTAATTCTTGCCGGCTATGTCAGCCGGACCTTGCTGGAAAGAGAACAAAGGAAAGAGAGTGTGAAGCAAGTGAAGGAATGTGGGTGGATACGGAAACACGTAGCTTACTGATAAGAAGTTGGCAAAGCTACGGAGAGTCTGACAGTCCAGAAATAATGAGCTCAGCTGGTAAATAAAATAACGCAGTGACATTCCCCTTCTTTGCCAGTTGAGCGAATATCAGTTCATCATCAAATAAGGCACATCTTCTCACGCAGATACTCGTGTTGAGCTGCTGGAAGTGGTTTGTTGAGCATATCAGCAATTTGATCATGTGTAGATACCTATTGCATTTTGACAAAACCTTTTTTCACTAAATGCTTTATGTTTTGGTAACGAATGTCAATGTGTTTGGACCTAGAACCTGTAAAATGTGATTCAGAAATATAAACCACCGATTCATTGTCTTCCATCACGGTGATCGGTTGGATCGGGTGTGTCCAGATATCTGTGACTAAAGCATCAAACCAAGTTAGAGAATTACATGCATCTGAAACACAAGCATATTCAGCTTCAGTAGATGAACAAGAAACAAAATTCTGTTTACGTACTTGCCAATAAACAGGACATCCATTTAAGAACATCATATAACCTGAAGTACTTTTACATGATTTCTTATCACTTGCCCAATCAGAATCTGCATAACAACATAATTCTGCATAATCAGTATGTGTTGGTTCTAACAATAACTTCATGTGTTTAGTGTATTTTAGGTATCTTAGTAATTTCTTAATGCATGTCCAGTGAAACTGTTTTGCTTTACCTACGTGTCGTGATAAGAGATTAACACTAAGTGCAATGTCGGGTCTGGTCCAACTACTAATGTACAATAGTGACCCAATGACTGAACGATAAAGTGTTTGATCCTCGAACTCAGGACTTTCTTCTTGTGTCAAGTTGTGAAAATCTGTTTGCATGGGTGTCTTTGTTGTGTTAGCATCTTTCATGTTGCAATGATGCAAAACTTGTTCAATTTTATCTTCTTGTGAAAGACTAAACCCCTTCTGTGTTTTTTCAATCTGAACACCTAAATAAGTGCTAATATGACCCAATGATTTCAATGTAAAGTATCTCTGCAAAGCTTTGGCAAAAATTTCACTCATTTGCTTATTTGGACCAATATAAACAATATCATCAACATAAACAAGAACTATCTCATATGCATTGTTAGATCTTTTTGTGAACACGCACTCATCAGTTTCGGACTTAATAAAGCCCATTGAATTTAGTTTGTCAGTAAGACATAAATACCACATTAAACCAGATTGTTTCAGACCATAAAGACTTTTGTTTAGGAACCAGGTATCCCCTTCTTGCTGTCGGAATCCTGGAGGACTTCTCACGTAGATCTCTTCATCTAGGTCTGCATGTAGATAAGCCGTGTCAACATCAAACTGGAAAACTTCTAAACCAAGGATAGTTGCAGTTGCTAAAGCAATTTTTACACTCTCAGTTCTGACTGTCGGTGAGTAGGTATTTGTGTAGTCCTCAGGATAACGTTGAGCGAAACCCTGAGCTACAAGTCTGGCTTTGTACAATGACTCACCATTTGGTTTCTTTTTGATTCTATAGACCCATCGAGTGCCAATGACCTTTTTGTTTGCTGGAGGTTTTGCAGGTGTAAATACTTTAAGTTTCTTTAGACTGTCCATTTCAGCCTGCATTGCTCCATACCATTTATCTTGCTCTGAATCAGGGAGCTGCTTGATTTGTGTGAAATTATCAAGTGGAAGTGTAACATTGCAAATCAAAGGCAAGGGTGCTTTTGTCAGTTGCCAAGAATATCGTTGTGGAGGGATCCCTTTTGTGGCCCTCTTGGAACGTCTCGGAACAACTGTCCAATCTTCTTCTGGTTCATCCTCGTCCTCACTTTCGTCGCTAGCGTCAGCATCCATGGCTTGCGAAGACGGAACATCAAGTTGAGAAGAATCAGTGGAATCTTGATCATCAATCTGCATGGCATCAGCAGTATCATCTCTGGGAAAATAAACTCCAGGATCATTGGAATGAATCCTGGACCAGTCAATATCTTCTTCAAAATTAGCAGATTGGGAAATCACAATTGCATGTTTAGAGTCAATAAATTTGCTCCATTTTGAATTATCATCAATACCCATAAATCTCAGTCTCTTTGCTGCTGGACCTCCTTTTCTTCTTTGAGCTAAGGGAATGTTCACCATAGCATATGAACCAAAAATATGAATGTTTTTAAGATCAGGCTTGTAGCCATACAACATGAAGAAAGGAGTCTGATTTGTTACACTGCTCCAAGTACGGTTGACAATGTAATTTGTATACTTGATAGCTTCACCCCAGTATATCTTACCAAGGTTGGCGTCTTCTAGGAGACAACGCATCATGGTTTGCAGTACCTCTCCGTTGTGAGCCGGTGTGTCAGGGGGTGAAGTCTGATGAATAATTCCATTCTTACGCATCCAGACCTGGAAACGCTGAGACATGAATTCGGCACCACGATCACTCTGGATTCTGGCGATGCGAACTTGGTGTTGGGTAGAAACAAGGGTTGCAAAGTCTTTAAAGATCTGAAAAGTCTCTGATTTTTCTTTCATAGGATAGACATATCCATATCTGGAGTAATTATCAACAATTGTTAGAAAATATTTTCTACCACCAAATGATGGCGGGAAAGGACCAACTATGTCAATGTGAACCAAATCAAAAATGCGTGTTGACAGGCGTGTAGCGTGTTTGGGAATGGCTGCTGCTTTGGATTTGGCCTTTTTGCATACAGCACAATCCAAAAACACCTTACACCCCTTTAGATCCAAACCTTTTGTGAATTCCGGCATCTTCCTAAGAACACGGAAACTGGCATGCCCCAATCTTCTATGCCATTTGTAGATACACCTGGAATGCAAAGGTTTACCTGTTAGTGAATTCTCAACATTGACATTTTTATGCGGAACCTCAGGCTTGCTCTGAGCAACCTGTTTACCAATTCTATTTTTGTTGGCTTTAGGAGCCTTAGGGGTAGCAACAGGATCTCTCTCTGGAGCATCTCTATCTGGGCCTGTGCATTCCCTTTTTGGAGTTTGCATATTTGCCTGTGTTTGTGTTTTAGGCTTTGGCTTTAAGTAATAAACACCACCAATTAATATGGTTTCAGCAACAATATCTCCATCTTTAACTATGTAACTTGCTTTTTCAAGGTGGTGAACTTGGAATTTTAACATTCTAGACAAGTGACACTGACTAAGCAAATTACTGGTTGCTGTTGGTATGTAATAAACATCAGGAATGAATGCATCGAGCTCTTCAACATAAACAGTTCCTTTTCCTTTGACCTGACAAGGATGATTTGAAAAAGAATAAAGTTCACGTAGTTCTGGTTCAGGCTCGTGCATTTCTGTGAAAAGTTCCTTTCTGTAGGTAACATGCAATGCTGCACCACTGTCCAAAGTCCACAGGAGTCGTCTGTCGTACTCTGGTTGAGGTTGTGGATCATTGGTTAAAGCCAATGTGGCGAGTGGAGTTTGTGGATCACGCCGGGGACCACGACGACCTTGTCTTCCGCCTCTGCCTCTGCCTCTGGAATCTTTTCCTCTGGGCTGGTGCGTGACGGGAGCTGGAACTCGTTGGGGACATCCCGGGTGGCATGTCCCACATGATCACAGGTGTAGCATCTTGGCATCCTTGGAGCGTAGGTCCTTCCTCGGAAGGGGCGCCTAGCTGGAGCTTTTGATGCGGGTGGTCCTCTCAAATGTGGCGCGGCCAACATGAATGCCTCTTCTTCAATTAAAAGCCTACAGACATTGTCCACTGTGCGTTGAGCAATAGGGACTTGGTTAATTTTTGTAACAGCATCTTTCCATTCATAATTCAAAGAGTTAATAATGATGCTGATCATTTGAATATCTTCAATGTTATGACCTCTTTCTCTCAATTCTGTTCTCAGACCTTTCAGTTTGGTCAAATGTCCTCCAATTTGTTCACCAGGTTTCAATCTCGAACCGTGGAGTTCAGACATTTTTAGTTTTGACTCACCAGTTAGTGGAGAGACAGAAAATGCCTGGTAAGGAGCCTGCACTTGGTACGCTGGCTGTGCTGGCAGAAATGCCTGTGGTATTTGCTGTGCCTGTTGCGGACCTAAAAATGGTCTTGGTTGTGCCATTGGAGGTGGGCCAGGAGGTGGCCCTATTTGCACTTGTGGCTGGGGCACATACGCAGGCATTTGTAGCTGCTGTGGCTGATGCACTGGAATCTGCTGTATTCCAGTTGCCATTTGTGCTTGAGCTGCAATATTGGCATGACCTGCTGGAGATGCAATCATTTGCCTTTGCTGTGTTCCATCTAAAAAGGCACCATCACCACCAGGGGGTGTTGGAGTTTGAGCCCATGGAGACACTTGTGGCGTTTCAGCTTGAATCTCTGAGTGAGTTAGAGACAGGTTTGCCAGGGTCTGCTGTAGTAATTTAAAATGTTCATCTAAGCTCCTTTCTCTTTCAGCTTCCTGTAGTAAATTACTTTCGCCAGCAGATGGTGCTGCACCTTTAGCTTCAGGCAGCTCAGTTTCAAGAAATGATTGCGTGGCAGGTTTATATGTAACTTGATCAGGGAGACTTTCATGTGACGTATGCAGTGCTCTCTGGTCTGATTGGCCTGACACAAAATCCACCAGGGGGAGTGTCTTTGGCTCTGAGGAAGAAGACAAGATGGCCTCTTTTGAAAATCTTAAGTCACGGGACTCTGTCTTTTCTTGTTCCAGCATAAACAAATCTCTCTTAAATCGAGACAGTTCATTTTCATAATATTTTACATGCTCATGATAGGATTTGATGGCCATCTCAGGCTGGGTGAGCTCAGGGCTTTGAGAAGAGTAATGAATTACTTCTCTCTCTGCATGGGGGTGAAAAAGCTTTGCCGTTTGTGGAAACTTTCTTGGCCTGGCACCAAGCACATCGTAATCTGTGGGCTCTGGTAGAATAGATTCATAGCATGCAAATTGAGAAGAAAAAGCTACCGACCTCAGTCGCAGTTCATTATCTTCAAAAACAGCTTCTGTCTTATCTGTCTCCATTTCTGTTCCCACGGCTTTTTCTTGTTCCAGGCGTGTGGCTGTAGTAAGGGGCTGGAAATCTGGAAACCTCCTTTCTGCCACCTTCTCAGCAAAATACATTTTGTATTTGTTTTACTTCTGTTTCGGCATCTCAGCAATATAATTAGTGTACCTCAGTAGCTAAAAACTAATTGCCTATGCGCTCTTATCAGAAATAACAAAACAAGGAAAAAAGCCATAAATCAAACCATCCTCTGCTACCAGAATGTCAGGGCATTTATTAATCCCATGTTTGGCTCTGGGACTAATTACCCTGGTTTAGAGGAGGAGATGAATCGAGGCTTATCCTTGTTGCAATAATCTGAAAAGAAACGCGAAGGAAGGTTTCTAATAAAACTCATTTATTTGTTATAAAGAAAATAAAACACCTCACTAACTAAGAAAAGTTAATTGTTACATTTTTGAAAGTAATTCTTGCTGGCTATGTCAGCCGGACCTTGCTGGAAAGAGAACAAAGGAAAGAGAGTGTGAAGCAAGTGAAGGAATGTGGGTGGATACGGAAACACGTAGCTTACTGATAAGAAGTTGGCAAAGCTACGGAGAGTCTGACAGTCCAGAAATAATGAGCTCAGCTGGTAAATAAAATAACGCAGTGACAGGCGCGAAGTCTCCTTCGGCCTTTTCGGTGGGTTTCTGGTGGGGGAAGTCCTCCCTTACCGCATCTTCATCACTGTAGTCGGATTCGTCTTCCTCTTCCTCACTCGCTGCTTCGCAGCCTTTGACCAGGCTTCGGAGTTCCGCGATGAGGTCAGTGTTGCTTTGTGACGAATCTATCAGCTCTAGAAGTTTTATCTGTAGGTCGTGTCTTTCTTCTTTTGGGGTCTCGTGTTTCTTCCACCCCTCGTCGCTTCTAGCCGGGGTGCATGGGTGGTGGAGTGGGCCGCTCGTCTCGGGTGCCTCTCCTTGCGTGGTTTCGGGTTGGGCAGGCCGTTCTGCCATCTTCTTGGTGAATGCTCTGGTATTCACCCTGTCTGTCGTGGTCCTTTGCATGTTGTGGAGTATTAGGATTGGGCTATCAAACCATCCTCTGCTACCATATTGTTAAATGTGTTCAAGGATCGTGCCCAATAACTCCATAAGCAGGTATTCATTAAATCAGATATTGTTTATTAATTAAGCATCTTATCATTACAGGTACAAGTCTGGAACTGAAGCAGGACTGCATGGCTGACCCTTAAGTACCCCCTGGGTGTGGCTAAGGTAAGGAGGGGTTATTGGGTTAGGGTGGACCTTGGGGGCTGGCTTGTCCAGCCTCCATGCCTCTAGCTCTGGATCAGAGGCAAGGCATTTATTCCTGACATTCCAGATGTGGTGGGGTAAGAACTTTCCCCTTCTTCCACCGGGGAATGGGACCTCCAGATGTGAAAGGGAGACATCACTTTGCTGGGCTGGGTAGTTATCAATAATTCTACTCTGCCATTTGTGATAGTTTGTGTCTGTGTGAGAGGAGGGGGAGGGGAAAAAGAAAGAAATGCTAGAACAACCCCAGAACTCCACCCTCCAACAGATATCCTGGACCACAAAACCCATAATTCTCTCTTAATACCAGACTTCTCCTCCCCACCCCCTGGGAGAATCCACCGTTCATTTCCCATGGGGAGCGGCGCCCAGGCCCTTTTAGCAGCACCTGCCAGAAAGGCCCCTTGTAACCTCCCCCAACAGCCCCCCCAAAAAACCCCCGGTGGCGCCCATCCAAACAGTTCGACGCAGGGAAAAAGAGGGCGCAGAGTGGAGCCAGATTGCCTCGTGAGTCCCCCCCCTCGGACCCCCCCCCAGCTTGAGGGAAGCCTCCAAATCTCACTCACAGAACGCCCTGGAGAAGCGGCCTCGGTGGCTTCAGAGGACAAACGGAGCATGCGCGAGAGAACGTTGCCCGCAGTCGCTCCTGGACGGAGGGGGAAGAATTCCACATGGGAGGATCTTTTGCAAGGAAGCTGGAACTCCTTTCCGCTCTAGGACTCAACACCTCTCTGGCCTTAACCCTTGCGCTGCGCCTCAGTCAGACCGGCATAGATGAGGCGGCCTATGTACGCGGACTACAGGCTGTCAATTGGCGTCTCCTCTGTGTCCCCTCATACACTCCCCCCACTCATCAGATCTAACCCTGCTTGGATGGCGGTGTTGGAAGAAACATCCTTCTAGGTTCTGCTCCAAGTGGGGAAAAAGACACTGGACACATGGAGACTGCTTGGAAAGATGGTTTAATGATGGACAGGATCACATGGCTTGAGTTCCTGAACAGAAAAAGGGGCAGATACAGAAAATCCTCGGGTTTTTATGCTCTCTCTGGCTCTGCATTTCTTGGGGCCCCAAAAGAGTATCCTGATTGGTTGTCAGACTCCCAGGGGGTGGGGGGATTGCTGGCTGATGGTCACATGTCCTTCCCAGGTCACATGTGGTGAGTTTCTGCTGCTATTGTGTAGAAGGCTAATCCTATTTTTGTTGGATCTTTGGCAATTCCTACTATGGCTCTGCCTGAAGGAGGCAGATCTTTGTTATGTAGAATAGACTGGCCCAGGCCTTAATGGCCCATTGACAAAGGGTGGGGGCAGGAAGGTGGGAGCTGCTTTGTCTGTAAAATATGCTTCTCCATTTCTCATCCAGGGAAATATAATATTCTGCCTTCATATTTCCTAAAATATTTCACTCTTCCAGGAAAGGGGTGGGTGCTAACTTCCTACAATCCCTACTTTTTTTTTTCAAAACGTGAGTTTTGAAACAAGTTCTTGGCAAATGATTAAAATTGATCAGGACAGGGAGGCTTGATGGGTGCTTTTAATTGTTCTAATGCAAAGGGAAAGACATTGATAGGGGCCACAGAAAAGGATTCCTTCAGTGGCTCCTGAAAGCTTTCAACCATGAAGGTCTAGCAGCCAGGAGAAAAGTTCTGATAAGAATTTTACAGTATCCAATTTTCCATGCCAATTAATTTCAGACTTTAGATATTACTTTCTGTGAGCTTCCAGTCAGGTTTCAAGCAAGCACATGTCCCAAAATTTTTCACAGCCATAGTTTTCCTTTAAATTACAGGCTGCCCATTTCCAAGGGTTGGGTACTGAACCTGCCCTAGCTCTTTACTTGCATCCAGGATTTGTGAGTCCAAATTGAGGTTAGCCAGTGTACAATATCCATTCTTTTTTTTTCTTTCTTTCTTTTTTTTTTTGGTGTTACACATAATGAGCCCTGGGATTTCTACTCATGAGACCACCAGTGCAATATATCTTCCTTTACTGGGCAACTGGGCAGCATCATTTGTGTCAGGGCTTGGGTTTTGGATATACTTTTTCTGCTATCTCTTCAAGTGAGGGAATTGCCTGAGGGGGATTGCCCCCTCCCCCATGGAATTAGCAGGGAGATATGACTCCTTGGGCTTTTAGTGCTACAGAGCAAAAATCAACCTAGGAGAAGCTTTGTGTGGAGGTAAGTGAAGGAAATAGTTTCAATCTAATTCTGGATAGTGTGTCTCTCTGTGTGTGCATGTGTATGCAGCTACTTTTACAATACAGGCAATACAAACATTTTGGACATATTTTTCCTCCCCACCAGACAGAAATCTAGAGTGTACATAATTTGGTGTGGTAATCACTCCCAAATATAATTCTTACAATAAACTGATTACAATATACATGAGAGAAGAAAGAAAACCTTACAATGAATTTCCACCCTCCCCCCTATAGTCTTTCCAGCTGTCTTCTGAGGATTGAAAAGAGTCTTTTGGTCTTTACTTGCAGATCTCAGGGTCTTTTCTTTAATGTCTGCTGGGTAGCATGCGTGGTGGTAAGGCTGGTCAGTCAGGCTTGGGAAGGTCTGCTCCACTCTGGTTGCTGTGATGACTTTCAGTGGAGGCTGGATTCAAACCCAATTTTTGGTTCAAACCAATGGAAGGTCTTCTTTGGAGGCAGCATCTGGATCCATGTGCTCTGCTTCTACAGGTTGCAGAGTCCTTTGTGCAGGGCTGAAAGACATTAAAACAGGATCCTCTCCCCCCTTTTGTAGGTAATCTTCCTAAGAAGGCATTGTAACAGGATTAGAGATGGGGGGGGTAGATAGCTTGCAGGCAGAGTTTGAAAAGAAACAACACACCAGTATTGCAGTTACTAAACAGATAATGCGGTTTCATCAAAATGGAGACACAACAGATAAGAAAAAACTGGATTCACATGCTTCAGGAAAGAGATGAACAGGTAAAACCCATTTAAACACATACAGTAAATGTAAGACTGAATTTTTTCCTTGTAAATGAACTTAAAACGTTTTCTCATAAACTTGAGTTGTTACTTTAAGATACAGAGAGGGAAGGAGAGAAAAAAAAAACCAGAAATAAAATGTCTCCTCACTCTGTCTTTGTTGGCCAGACAAACACAGGGCAAAGGCTCTTTCTTTCTTTTTCTCTCTCTCTCTCCCATTTTTCATTGCTTCAACTTTTTTTTTCCTAACAATTTAAAATTCTTGTCTCTAGAGATCAGATACATTTTACAGTTATGATTACCTTGAGGGCGCACAAAGACTTAGACACACACACATAAAACAAGGAAGACAAAGAGAAGAAAACAGAACTCTGAGATTTCACACACACTGATCATTCCCACGTAAATCTCAGTTAAATTAGGGAAGGCACAAATCTTAAGAAACATACCACGTGGTTACATAGAAGACAGAGAAAGAGACAACAAACAAACCAAACAAAAACCTCAACATTCCTATTTATATATTTCCCTTTTCTTTTAAGTACCTTTATTTATCTCTTAGCAGAGCCCACTTTTGACACAATTTTCCCACTCGTTTCCGATCCATGCCATTTAAAATGGGCATCCGCCTGGCGTCCCAGGCCTCGAGCACTTCTTCCAATCGGAGTTCCTGCCACTCGCGAACTACTGCTACCCATGACCCTGTCTTTTCACCTGAAGGATCACTTTGGCTTAGCTGGGTGGCCCGCCTCAAGTTTGCAGAGAAAAAGCTCTGGGAAGGACTTCGATTCCCTTGCGAAGTACGGGCCCCTTCCGTAGGGAACTCGCCAAAGTTTTCGGATCCAAAAAGGGGATCTGGGAGGACCTGCTGACCCCAGCAGTGAGCACTGGCCCCTCCTCACACTATCTCCGTGTCTGGGCTGGACACACCGGGATTCCCTTTTACAGTTTTATTACCCCCCCTTCACACACTTGGCTTTCGCTCGGCTTCCATTCCTTTTAAACACAAAGTTCCACATTTGGTGACCCCCCCTTGCTTTCTCTATCCTACTGGTCATGGCTTGGTGGAGCTAGCAGTAGGCAGAGGTGTGGCTAGAGGTCACTCAAAGAGGTGAAATCAGACTGTTTTCCAGGTGGAATCCCACACACACACTTCCTCCTTCCCTAACAGAAGGTCCTGTGCTCTGGCAAAACCCCCATGCTCTCCAGACTGTTAGTCTTTCTGCGGTTAGGAAATGCACAGAGGAAGCAAGATCCAGCTGTGATTGGGAGAAGGGCCTTCACTCACACACATGCAGGCATACACACATTTCCCATGTTTTCCCCCATGCTTTAAATTAAAATTTAGAGGTACTCACCTTCTTTCCAAGCAGCCTTTGAGCTCAAACTCAAAACCCCTTTAAAACCTAGTTCCAAATGGCCAAGGTCCACGAAAACATGCCCACAGACTCAATGGGTCTGTTGCTAGCAAGGGAGACTTACCTGGGCCTGGTCCATTGGTTAGGTTAGCTTGGAGTCCCACTGGCTCGCCAATTGTTGGAAGAAACATCCTTCTAGGTTCTGCTCCAAGTGGGGAAAAAGACACTGGACACATGGAGACTATGCTTCTCCACTTCTCATATGCTTCTTCATTTCTCATCCAGGGAAATATAATATTCTGCCTTTTTCATATTTCCTAAAATATTTCATTCTTCCAGGAAAGGGGTGGGTGCTAACTTCCTACAGCGGCACGAAGGAGGCAAAGGCACGTCTCTCGCAAGCGGAGCTGCCATGGCCGGCGGGGACCAGCAGGGGGCGCCCTCCGTAGGCGGTGAAGTCCTGGCAGCCTGCGAGCCTCAGAAGGGAACTGAGCATGTGCGTCTGCCCTTTGCCCGTCTCTGCTTCTCTCGCTCCCCCGCCTGATGGAAAGACATGGGAATCCCCTCTCCCCCCTGCCCTTTGCACCCAGACACCCCCCAGCCCCCCCTACAGGGCCAAGAGGCTGCAAGGGGGCCTGGCAGGAGGGAGGGGCCAGGAGGAGCATCCCCAGGGTCCCACCAGATGGAAGGCTGCAGGGGGGGATTCTTGCAAGAAGGGGGGCTTCCTATCTCCTCCCAGACACAATCGCAGCCAACACAGGAATTTCTCTCCTTTTAGGCTTCTTTTCCTCTCCATGCCAGGAAAGTTTGGATGCTCTTTGGGAGCCCCAGGAAGGAATCCCTCCTGCCCTTCGGGGGTCTCCCCAGCATTGCCAAGTAAAGGGTGGGCAGCCACTGTCCCACCCCCACTCCCTGGACAATCCAGGATTTCCCTGCAGGAAAGGAGTTGCTGGCAGCGTTGCTGGGGGTTCCCTGCAGGGGCTGGGGGGGGCATTTTGGGACCCCTCCTGGGAGGGAGAGCGAGACAAGCCTTCCCCTCCCTCTGTCTGTGTGTGTCTGTGTGTCTGTCTGGGGCCCTTATGGATCTCCAACAGAACGTTGGGAGGGTCAATCCTCTCCAAGACTCGGGTGGGGGAGGTTGGGGGACCCTCATGGGAGGGAGTGGGATCTAAGCCCCCCCAAACTATTACATCTGTCAATCAGTCTGTCTGCCTGGCCCCTTATGGCCCCTCAGATGGACTGTGAGGTTACTGGGCTAATCCCGTCCAAGACTCAGCCTGGCTGGATCCCCCTCCCCTCCTCAGGTGGGAGGCCAAAAGGGAGGGAGAAGGTTGGAAAGGGCCGTTTCTGTCCAACTCCAAGGAAGGGAGCCCTGGGCAGACTCCCTCCATCCACTTAGGGGACCCACTTGAGACCCCAGAGAGGGATGCTTGCTTGGTCCTGAAGAGCCAGCCTGGAGGGACCAGAGATCCCAGGCACTTTGGATGCCCTTCTCAACCAGAGACCCTGGAAGAACCACTGGTGCTGGCCCAAAGGGATGGAGGCGGATTCTGTGCCTGGAGCAGGTGGGCAGAGACCACAGAATGTGCTGCTGGCTGCCCCGAACCCTTTCAGATCAAGAGAAATGAGAAAAATCCCCCTTTGCAAAGCCAAAGGAGAAAACAGCCTAGCCAGGACTGTGTTGGGGGGAATTATTTGGGGGGAAGAGGGACAACTGCATCCCATCAGATTGCACCCCCCAAAATACTCTTTAACCTGGAGGTGATCCATGGGATTGGTTGGAGAGAGGAAAGGTTCTCGTGTGACAAGGAAAGCTTCTCCCTGTCTGGAGGGGGTAAAGAGCTCCTGGAACAGGCCGGGGGAATTCCTGGTCTCCAGAAACCACTTTCCTCTTGGCAGGTCCAGGAGGTTCCATGTCAGCCCCATGGAAAAGGAGCTTTGCAGGGCAGCAGAGGTGGGGAAAAGCCCCCACCCCCATTCTTCTCGGAAATGGGCCTCTTGGGAAGCTCTGGCGGAGCCTCAGGACAAGCAACCCACAGGAAGGAACCACACAAGTTTTCGTCTACAACATCCCTACTTCAAGAGTTGTGTTACCCAGCGAGGCCCTGGAAAAACGGCAGCTGCCTCCACCATCCTTTGTGGCTGAAGCAGGAAGACCCCAGAAGCTCAGATGGGGCACCTGGGGGTCCCGGAGCAGCTCCGGCCATCCTGTCCCTGGAGACCAGAGCTGGATTTGGGACGGGGGAGGGGAGACCTTTCCCCAGCAGAAGGCTCCTTCCTCAGCCCGGAAGAGGAGGAGGAGCCGCAGGGGGAGGATTCCCAACAGGGGAGAAGAGCTGATCAGTTTTCCTGCATCTTCCATGCCTCCCTGCTGGTCTTTAACTATGGCTACCCCCTGATGCTTAGGCAGGAATTGTGCTCCAGAAGGACCCCCAGATCAGGCCCTGGGGGGGGTCTCGTCTGGTGCCCCCCCACATCCATCCTCAGAGGTGACTCTCAGCTAAGACAACAGCTCGTTTATTTGGTAGACTGGTACAAGAAGTGAGTGAGCTCCCTCTTTTAAAGGGAGCTGTCTGACAGCTCAGCCACTGAGATCTCTTGAATTTCCCACCTGTAGTGTGAGCCAATCAATTTAAACCACCTATCAGATCCCTAAAAGTGATACTGCCAATCAATTGGGAGAAGGGGGAGACTTGGATTCGATTTACTAGCATTGCCTGTGTCAACAGATATTTTACAACCGATATCCTGGCGTCAAAGAGCCCTGAAATCCTCTTAACATGAGGAATGTTTATGATAGCCATGTGGGGTGTTTCACTTTAAAGGATAACGGTGGGAATGCATGTTTGTTTGGGTTCTCGGGGAAACTAGTAAAGAAAACATCTTCACACTTGTGTATTGGCTAAAATCTGCAATCAGACTTAAAGGTCTCTACTGCTTTAATCCTACTCGTCTTGCCTAAGAGTATTCAGCTCTTTCTTTAACTGGGTTGCTATCACTTCTGCTTAATAAAAGGACCCTTTTGAACTATCATGTTTCAAGAGTCTTTACTTTCTAAAGTTGGAAGGAGAGGCAATCATTACAGATGGAGAAGAGGCTGAAGAAGCCAAGCCAAAGGGCGGGGGTCAAATAAAGAGCAAAATTCAAAGCTTTGGGGGGGGGATGAGAAAGAGTCAAAAACTCCCAGAATTGCAGAGGGAGGGGGGCTTAAGCCCCTTCCCCAGAAAAGGCTGCAATGAAGAGGGTCTCCTCAGCTGGGGGCTCTGGAGGGGCCACAGGGGACCCCCATCTTCCTCAGAGTCACGGAGGGTCCCCTCCAGGGTGAGGCTGGCTGTCTTTTCCTCCCAGGCAATGTGGGATCCCCCTTGGAAGACCCAGCTCTACATGGCTTCTCCCCCACAGGAGCCTCTCCTGGAAAGACACGGAGCCCAAGTGAGGCTGGAGAAACCCCGGGGGCTGCGTCTCCCCAACATTCAACCCTGGGACCCATAAACCAGGTTAGTCTCTTCCCAGGAATGCCCCAGATCCCCTCCTTCTCCCTGGACATCCTGGGCTTTCTCCGTGGGTCTGGGCTTTGCTTTCCCCTGAGTGCCCCATGCATGGAAAGAGGTGGCTGAGCAACATGGGATATGGTCTCCCCCGTTTCCAGGACTCAGAAGATGGAACCTGGAGGGAGATTTTGCAGATCTGCTTCCCTTCCCCACCACCAGGCTCCCCAGCTTCCTTCTCCCAAGAGGGGCTCCCCACTCAGCCAGGCAGAGTCCTGTCTGGCATCCCTGCAAGAGTCCTTGCCTGGCCTCTGCATGGGAAAGGGTGGCAGCGGAACATGGGGTATGTGACATTCCCATTTTTTTTAACTCTGCAAAGTTTGAAAAACTAGTTTTTCACTAAAGTTGATTTTGTTCTTAGAGACTGGCCACACTATTGCATCAGCCCTTTTGTGGGATGCCCTTGAGCATTAGCTTTCAAAATAAAGTAAATTTTGGTTCCAACTCAGCTGGCAGCTATTTCAGATCTGTGACATGCTCTGGCATTAACTGCCCCCCCCCCCAGTTTTGTCTTTCATCACTAGGCAAATAAATATCAGATTTATTTGTTTCTTCAGCACAGGTGCTGTGTGTTCCATCCGGGGCCACTTTCAAGGATGGAGCTCCCAAACCTCTCAATTCTAGATGACCGATTTAATTCCATCTCTGCCCCTGCTATTATGAATCACATGGAGATTATTTCCCTTTCATTTCTCTCCAGAGAATTTCCCAACAACCTTTGACTGCAAGAACTAATTGAATTATCCAGGGATCCCTCCTGAGAGGGAGAATTATGGTAAAAGTTTCAGCTCTGCTCTTTGGCTGAATCCTCCAGGGGAGACTTTGGGCAGAGAAATATGGAGTTTTGGGACAGGCAGAGTCTGTGCTCTTGAATGTATGTCTCTCTCCTTTCCAGGTGAAGCTGAGTGTCTCTCTGTGTTGAGAAGAAGCATCTGGATGTTCCACCTTGTGAGAATCATTTGATTCTTCTAAATCTTCTTTAGAAACAGGAAAGGGATTGATTGATTCACCCCATGAATTATGGACCTCCTGCTTCTGCTTCTGATGCTGCTTTTGTCCCATCCAGTCTCTGGGAAGCTGAGAATGAAATGCCCGCTGAGTTTGGAGAACCAGGATGAGAAACCATGGAGCTACTACAGACCAGGAGACCATCTAATCAGTATAGTCACCAGTGGATATGAAAGATTGCATACAAAGTTGTTTTTCAATGTGGCTCCTTCTCTTCAGTTTGTTTTCCATGATCCGTAAGTCATTCAGGGTGATGGAGTTGCACTCCCTCCATTCTAACACTCTCCTTCTTTTCTCTTTTTATTTTTCATTTCTTCCTATATTGGGGAATATGTCTAATTTCCTGAATGATTTTGATTTCCATGGCTTCTCTCTTTCATCTGATTTTGTGAAAAAGACTCAAAATAGGGTCTGAAAAAAAGCTGAAAGGGCTGCAGATTATTTTCCTCTCCCTGTTCAGTCCTTAATTTGTCACTTGGATAATGAGTTTTATTTAAAGTAGTGGTGGAATCAGTTGTAGTTGCTGTACCTCAGCCCATTTCCATATTTGTGTAACTGATCATTGCTTTTGGATCAATGTTGGTTTAAGGCTCAGTAGGCTTGTGGAGGATTATACATATAGTATATTATATATAACAAAAGTATTTGTTGTGGCTGTTGAATATAATAACTTTTTTTTCAATAGGAGATCTTACAAATATTTTTATTGTTTACTATTCATTGTCAACATTCAACTGGTCAACAAGAATTCCCATCTCTTGCACAACCTCACACTGGGCTACAACATCCATTATAACTATGTAAGCACTTTCCACACTTCAGATGCATTGCTGGACATGCTCTCCACTGGAGAAGCCAATGTCCCCAACTACGGCTGTGGAAGGAAGGAGAACCTCCTAGCTCTTCTTGATGCAGCTGACAAGGCCATCTCCATCCAGATGTCAACATTAGGAGGCACCTACAAAGTCCCACAGGTTTGTGTGTGTTTTTCTCCATCTGGTAAAGTGAGGGGTGGGTGGTGGTGGGTGAGCAATAGATGCAATCATGTCTTCTCCATGGAATTGAAGAGCTGCTTTTCTCCATATTAAGAAAAATGTCAATATTTTACCCCGTAATGTTCATGTTGAGATTAATCATAAAAGGCCTGAAATTCAAGCAATACATTCCCTGGAGAAGACTTTCTACCAACTATTTAACTGATCAAAAAATATCCCTGGTATTCTTGGGGCCTCTATTGGCATCTTCATTTTCACACATAAATGATGCCTGCCATATCCAGTCGGATTGAAGTTGGCAATAGTAGTATTTTATCCATCTAAAATGTGGAATAAAAATTACTCTAGCAATTATAGGCCAAATAGACTAGCAGATATTGTGGCTAAAATTTATGCCATGATCCTCTTAGTTAAACTTGAGAAAAATTCATTCCTTGCAGAAGGTTTTAGGTAGAGTTAAATGCTATATAGATTTTGTACGAAATCATGAATGTGTTAATAATCTAATATTAGCAACAAGTTTGTCTTGAAATATCTAATCTATATCAGTGAGGTAAGACAAGGTTTGCTGCTTTCTAGATGTTAGTGCAGCATTTGACTCAATAAACAGAGAAATATGATAGAGAAAATGTTTTGCCCTCAAAATGCAGCTCAGCCTGTTGGCCCTGATCCAAGCCCTTGTTTGAGAGGGAGGTTTGGGCTCAATGGAGCCATGAGAAGAAGGATCTATGCTTACCAAGGGGGAAGGGAAAGAGGCATATTTGAACCCTTCTTATTCAGTGTAGATTTGAAATGACTTACTAGCACAAATGCAGGATCAAAAAACAGATCATCAATAAATGTTATTTCATTTTTTGACAAAAATGACTAAATTAGTGGACCAATGAAATGCAGTGCATGTAGTATACAGTACTTGGAGTCCAGGTTTCTTGACAAAGAAACCACAACCTATTTCTCAGTTAAGATGAAAATATGTGGGATAGACAGCATTACCCCCAGATGGACTCAGCCTGTGGTCCTCAATGGAACTACATCTGCATGGAGGGAAATAAGCAGTGGGGGACCCCAAGGTTCCATTTTAGGCCCAGTTCTCTTCAACATCTTCATGAATGATTTGGATGAGGGGAGAAATGGGAAAATCATCAAATTTGAAGACAACACTAAATTGGCAGGAATAGCCAACACCCCTGAAGATCCAGATGGATCTAGATAAATTTGAGCTCTGGGCCTATCTAACAAAATGAAATTTAATGTAGAGAAAAGTAAGGTTTTATACTTAGGCTAGAAAAACCAAATGTCCACTTACAGATGAGGTGAAACCTGGCTCAATAAGTGTAACTGTGAGAGGGATCTTGGCGTCCGAGTGGACAATCACTTAAATATGAGCCAGCAGCAGCTTTAAAAAGTTAATTCAGTCCTAGGTTGCGTTAACAGAGGGATAAAATCAGGATCACATGAATTATTGGTACCATATTATAATGCCTTGGCAAGACCACACTTGGAATAGTACATCCAGTTTTAGTCTCCATATTATAAAATGATGTAGAGACTCTGGAAAGAGTGCAGAAAAGACGATTAAGGGCCTGGAGACTAAAACATATGAGGAACAGTTGCAGGAATTCAGTATGTCTAGTCTAGTGAAAAGGACCAAGGGTGACATCATAGCAATGTACCAATATTTGGGGGGCTGCCACAGAGAAGAGGAGGTCCACCTATTTTCCAAAGTACTAGAAGGAAAGACAAGAGACAATGGATGGAAACTAATCAAGGAGAGAAACAACCTAGAACTAAGGAGAAATTTCCTAATGGTGAGGAATGGAACGTCTACCCTTCAGAAATGGTGGGTGGTCCATCATTGGAGGCTTTTAAGAAGAGACTGGAGAGCCACTTGTCTGGAATAGTATAGATAGATACAGATTAACAGAGTTGGAAGGGACCTTGTAGGTCATCTAGTCCAAGCAGACCCTACAACATTTCTGACAGATGACGGTCCAGTCTCTTCTTGAAAGCTTCCTGTGATGAAGCTCCCACAACTTCTTAGGGCAACTTTATCTCTTTATTTCCAGGCTGAATCTCTCCTTGATCAGTTTCCATCCATTATTCCTTGTCCGGCCTTTGTCCGGCCTTTGGGTACTTTGGAAAATAGCTTGACCCCCTCCTCTCTGTGGCAGCCCCTCAAATATTGGAAGACTGCTATCATGTCTCCCCTGGTCCTTCTCTTCACTAGATCAGCCATGCCCAGTTCCTGCAACCGTTCATTGTATGGTTTTTTTTTCCGTTAAAACAAACTTTATTAAACATAAAAAGATAAAATATCAAATCAAGTACATACAAAATACATTTATATTCACCCATAAAATAGAAAAACAATACAAATGAAACAAACTAGATATATATATCTATATATAGAAAGTGACTTATTTCATCATTTATCTTATTGACGGTGCTTGTTGTTAATTTTATTTTCTTGTTTTCTTGTGGAATTTTACATTTACTCTCCTTTCTTTTGACTTGCCAATCGTACCATCTATTCCATACAGTATAATATTTTGAGTCTACCTTGTCTACTTTGTCTTTTAACTCAAATGTTAATTTAGCCATTTCTGCACAATTGTAAATTTTTTTGATTACTAGATGATCTGTTGACAATTGATCCGTTTTCCAATGTTGTGCTAATGCCAATCTGGCTGCCGTAATTATGTGTAATATTAAAATTTTGTTTCTTTGCTATGGTTTCCTTTGATCATGCCTAATAGAAAAATTTCTGGTTTCAGCTCTATTTTCTCTGTTGTTATTTCTCTTAGCCAAGTTTTTATTTTTTCCCAGTATTTCCTAATTTTTGGGCAAAGCCACCAGACATGGAAGAATGTGCCCTGTACTTGTTTACATTTCCAACAAGTTTGATTTAAGTTCTGATACATCTTCGCTAACCTTGAAGGGGCCAGATACCATCTATACCACATTTTATACTGATTCTATAAACTACTGATTTTGTCATGATATAATTAGTTTCCCATGCATTTTCCCAGTCTTCTAATTGTATGTTATGTCCAATGTTTCTTGCCCATTCTATCCTTTGTCCTTTTACTAATTCCTCTGCTAGGTCGAATTCCAACAAGTATTTTGATATTAATTTTTCTTCCTTGGCTTCTAACAGTTTATCTAATCGGTCCGGTTTTAGTTCAATTCCTCCTTTCTCTTGATCCTTTTTATATCTTTTTTTATCAGTAAATAGGGCCACCAGTCTATCAGTATTCCTTGTTCTCTAAGTTCTTCTTGTGTTTTTAATACTCCCTGGGAATCCAATATTTCCTTATATCTTATCATTTTTTGTAGTGCCAGTGTATTGGGGTGTATTTGCGCCTCCATTGTGGATAACCATCCAGGAACTTTTATATAATGTTTGTTTTTAATTTCTCGCCATGTACAGATTAGTGAATCTCTTAGTACAGTGGTAGGCAAACTTGGCTCTTTCACACCCTGTGGACTCCAACTCCCAGAATTCCTAAGACAGCTTGGCTGTCTTAGGAATTCTGGAAGTTGAAGTCCACAGGGTGTGAAAGAGCCAAGTTTGCCTACCACTGTCTTAGTATATGATTACTGAAATTTTTATGTGTTTTGTTCCCGGTGTTCCATAAGAAGGCATGCCACCCCATCATCAAATCATGTCCTTTTAGTTTTAATAGTCTTTGATTTTCCAAATTCACCCATTCTCTAATCCGTGTTAGACTTGTTGCTTTGTAGTATGTTTCCCATGCTGGCAAACCAAATCCACCTCTAGTTCTATCATCCTGCAATATACTTAATTTGATTCTTGGTTTTTTCCCTTCCCACACAAATTTTGTGGTTATTTTATTCAAATTATTGAAGAATTTTTTATTTAATTTTACTGGAATTGTTTGAAATAAATAAAGGAGTCTCGGCAGTATGTTCATTTTTATCGCTGCAATCCTCCCTAATAGAGATAATTTCAATTTCCCCCATTTTTCTAAATCTTCATTTATTTTTTGAACCAATATTCCATAATTGTTCTCCTTTATGGTTGCACTTCTGGCTGTCAAATTTATACCTAAATATTTCACCTTTTTTACCACCCATAATCCTAATTGATTAACTAATTCTTCTATTTGTTTTGCTGTTATATTTTTCATTAACATTTTAGTCTTATCTTTGTTAGTTTTTAAACCCGCCATTTTTCCAAATTCTTCTATCTCTCTTATTAAAATTGGTCCTGTTTTTAACAGTTCTTCTATGAAGAATACAAGGTCATCAGCAAATGCTTGGACCTTGTATTCTTCTCAATTTACATTTAGTCCTTTTATTCCTTTATTTGACCTGATTCTTACGAGTAAATTTTCCAATGTTAAAATAAACAATAAAGGTGAGAGTGGACATTCCTGCCGTACTCCTTTATTTATTTCAAAGAATTTAGTAGAGTCTCCATTTACTAATATACAGGTGAAACTCGAAAAATTAGAATATTGTGCAAAAGTTCATTTATTTCAGTAATGCAACTTAAAAGGTGAAACTAATATATGAGATAGACTCATTACATGCAAAGCGAGATAGTTCAAGCCTTGATTTGTCATAATTTTGATGATTATGGCTTATAGCTCATGAAAACCCCAAATTCACAATCTCAGAAAATTAGAATATTACATGAAATCAATAAAACAAGGATTGTACATAAAACAATATCGGACCTCTGAAAAGTATAAGCATGTATATGTACTCAGTACTCGGTTTGGGCCCCTTTTGCATCAATTATTGCCTCAATGCGGCATGGCATGGATGCTATCAGCCTGTGACACTGCTGAGGTGTTATGGAAGGCCAGGATGCTTCAATAGCGGCCTTCAGCTCTTCTGCATTTTTCGGTCTCATGTCTCTCATCTTTCTCTTGGCAATGCCCCATAGATTCTCTATGGGGTTCAGGTCAGGCGAGTTTGCTGGCCAATCAAGCACAGTAATCCCATGGTCATTGAACCAGGTTTTGGTACTTTTGGCAGTGTGGGCAGGTGCCAAGTCCTGTTGGAAAATGAAGTCAGCATCCCCATAAAGCTCATTTGCGGAAAGAAGCATGAAGTGCTCCAAAATCTCCTGGTAGACGGCTGCGTTGACCCTGGACTTAATGAAGCACAGTGGACCAACACCAGCAGATGACATGGCTCCCCAAATCAACACAGACTGTGGAAACTTCACACTGGACTTCAAGCATCTTGCAGTGTGTGCCTCTCCATTCTTCCTCCAGACTCTGGGTCCTTGGTTTCCAAATGAGATGCAAAAGTTGCTCTCATCAGAAAAGAGGACTTTGGACCACTGAGCAACAGACCAGATCTTTTTGTCTTTAGCCCAGGTAAGACGCTTCTGACGTTGTTTGTTGTTCAGGAGCGGCTTGAGAAGAGGAATACGACATTTGAAGCCCATGTCCAGGATCCGTCTGTGTGTGGTGGCTCTTGATACACTGACTCCAGCCTCAGTCCACTCCTTGTGAAAGTCCCCAACACTTTTGAATGGCCTTTTCCTGACAATCCTCTCCAGGCTGCGGTCATCCTTGCTGCTTGTGCACCTTTTTCTTCCACACTTTTCCCTTCCACATAACTTTCTATTAATGTACTTTGATACAGCATTTTTGGAACATCCAACTTCTTTTGCAATTACCTTTTGTGGCTTTCCCTCATTATGGAGGGTGTCAACGATGGTTTTCTGCACAACTGTCAGGTCAGCAGTCTTTCCCATGATTGTGATTCCTACTGAACCAAACTGAGAGACCATTTAAAGGCTCAGGAACCCTTTGCAGGTGTTATGGCTTAATTAGCTGATTAGAGTGGGACACTTTGAGCCTAGAATATTGAACTTTTTCACAATATTCTAATTTTCTGAGATTGTGAATTTGGGGTTTTCATGAGCTGTAAGCCGTAATCATCAAAATTATGACAAATCAAGGCTTGAATTATCTCGCTTTGCATATAATGAGTCTATCTCATGTATTAGTTTCACCTTTTAAGTTGCATTACTGAAATAAATGAACTTTTGCACGATATTCTAATTTTTCGAGTTTCACCTGTACTTGCTTTCTGTTTTCTATATATAGAGACTATCATTTTTTTCAAATCTCTCCCCAAATTTCATGTTTTAATTTGCTGAGTCATAAATTGCCAATTCACCTGATCGAAAGCTTTTTGTACATCCAGAAACACCAGTGCTACCTCCCTCTCTGGATGTACCTCATAATATTCCAATACGTTGATTACTGTTCTTATATTGTTTTTTATCTGTCTCGTTGGTAAGAAGCCGTTTTGATCTGGGTGTATTCTATAATTCAATAATTTTTTCATTCTGTTTGCCATTATACTCATGAAGATTTTATAATCAGTGTTTAATAGAGAGATCGGTCTATAATTTTTTGTTTGCGTTGTATCTGTTCCTTCCTTCGGTATCAGCGAGATGTATGCCTCTCTCCTTGAGTCTCGTAGCTTTGCCTCTGTCAATGCTTCATTATATGTTTCTAGTAGAATCCAATTCAGTGTCTCTCCCAATCCTTTATAAAATTTAGTTGGTAGACCATCTGTCCTTGGGGTTTTATTATTTTTTTGCCAACCACCTCCCTGGTTTATTTGCATGCTCAAAGTGGTTCTGTTTTATATATTTCAATGCTGTTTTGTATTTTCCCTGTTCTAATATATTCAATTTATGTTTAGCTGCCATCCATTTCCTTCTAATTTGCTCATCCCCAGAGTTGTCTTGTAATTTTCCTTCCCAATTTTTAATCTCTTCTTGTACCTTATTATATTCTTTTTCCCTCTCCTTTTGTCATTTTTGCATTATAAGCTATCATCAATCCTCTCACATAAGCCTTTGTTGTATCCCATAAATTCTGAAGGGAGGTGTGATATTTTGTATTATCTTTAAAGAACAATTTTAATTCCTTTTCCATTTGTTCAATATATTCTTTTTCTTTCAATATCTGCGTGTTCATTGTCCATCTACTCTTTTTCCTCTGCTGTCCTTTCCATACCAGCATTACTGGATTATGGTCAGCCCAATTATTTGATATTATTTCAACTTTTTCTACTTGTTGTATCAATATGTTAGTTACCCATGCCATATCAATTCTAGACCAGGATTTATGGGGATTCGAATAATATGTAAAAAAATTTACCTCAGGGTTATAAAATCTCCAACTATCAACTAAATTTAATTCCTCTACTAGATCAATAAAAGTTCTGGGTAGTATATTTTTCTTTTTTTTATTGCTCTGATCACTTTTGCAATCCTTTCTTACATTAACAATTGCATTAAAATCGCCAATCAAACATACGTTTTCCATTTTTTGTTCTATTATTTTTTCATATACTTTTTTGTAAAATTCCATTTGTCCACTATTTGGCGCATGTATAACCACTAATAAAATACTTTTACATTTAAATTTTACCTCTATCATCAAAATTCTTCCTATTAAGTTTGCGTATTTCAAGTTGTTCTCTATTCCTTCTTTAACATACACTACTATTCCTCTTTTCTTTTCTACTGCTAGTATTACAAAAGATTTACCTAATTTTTTGCATTGTAAATATTTTTCTTTTTGTTTTCTTATATGTACCTCTTGGAGGCACACAATATCCATTTGTTGTTTCACAGCTTTTCTAAAAATTTGATGTCTTTTGACTGGGGAATTAAGGCCATTTACGTTCAATGATAGAATTTTAAGATTTTGTTCCATTCCTTAATGGATATCCTATACGCTTTTTCTATTACTTCCTGTCCTTTCTCTTGGCCCTTGTTCTCACTCCTCTCTTCTAGGAGTGTGGTGACCAAAACTGGATGCAGTATTCTAGGTGTGGTCTTACTTTATAGAGTGATATTAGTCCCTCTCTTGATCTTGATTGTATCCCTCTGTTAATGCGATTTAGGATTGCATTGGCTTTTTTGGCTGCCGCTGCACACTCTTGACTCATATTTAACTGGTTGTCCGCTAAGACTCCAGGATCCCTCTCACAGTTACTGCTATTATGCCTGGTTTACTGCTTGAACAGGGGGTTGGACTAGAGGACCTCCAAGGTCCCTTCCAACCCTTTTATTTTGTTATATGTACTGTTATAGGTACACATGTTTAGCCTGCTAAATTCCTATTGGAATAAATGATTTACACAGATAATGTGATATTATCATACTTATACATTGGATTGTATAGACTTGGATTGTCTTGTCTTAATAATTATCTGATAATTTATAAAGCAAGTTCAAAAGTTATGGTCTTTGTGAAATGACATCATAGCCATAGATGGTCAGCCATTAGAGCAAGTAACACCTTTCCTTACCTGGGGTTGTTTTCTCTGAGCCTGAATCTTGGCTCCCTCACCATCCAAGGAGCTCAGTTAGAGAAAGGGCAGGAGTGAAAGTGGTGCTTAAATGAAAACCTCACAGCTCTCCAGCTTCCTCAGCCCCAATGATTAAAGTATCTGAGGCCCAGTTTTCCCCCATGTTCTTACATCAATCTGATGTTTGGGGCTTCAGAGAGAAACCACCAGCAGAACCAACCCAATCTCAGCCTCTGAGGAGGATCTTGGGGTGGGTAAAAGGACTCCAGCTGCTGCCCTCAGAGCAGATTTGGGAATTTACATAATTTCTGCTTTGTCTAAATTCAGAAAATATGGGTATTATTGGCATAAAATTTAATCTATGGAAACTGACAGACTCTGAAAATTGTGGCTGTTGGAACAGACAAAACTTCAATGAAAGACCAAACTTGGATTATGCAACTGACAAATCTTATTAGGCTTTGAGATCTGCCTGTTTCTTGTATAACTGGAGAAAGAAGTTAAAAAATTTCCTCCAGAAAGAATCTGGGATATAGAAGCAAAAAAAGATGCAGCAATCCTCGAAAATTTTAATAGGCCCTTTATTGGAATAGAATATTCCAGTTGGCATTTGCACATGTTAATCTAATTGTGATAAATTGTAGGGGTGATACAGTAATATGATTGACATTTTTATTGTTTTTCAATTTGTTTATTATTTTCCATTATTATGATACAATCTTGTTAATATTCTGTCTTTAATATTTTAAACAATGTCTGATTAACAAACTATTCTAAAATATTCATGAGAACCGGGTTGGATTTATTAAAATCTAATATTTTGGACTTGATCTGATCCCAAATGTAACACAGCATTCTTCATTGCTTTTTCAGATCAATCTTGAAACTGCTTCAGAGGCTCTGAGTGATAAAAGTCAATTCCCCTTTTTCCACCGGATGCTCCCCAAAGACGGGATCCTGTACCCAGCAATTGTCCACCTCCTCCTCCATTTCAGATGGACCCTGATTGGCTTCTTTGCTTCAGACACAGAAAATGGAGAGAATTTTATGAGGATTTTTCCTCCTGTGCTTGTCAGGAGTGGAATTTGTGTGGTTATATCACAACTGTTCTCAACAACTGGATATACAACAGCATCCCTCAGGGATTCCCTCTCTAAGTGGAGACAAGTCAACATCTTTGTTCACTTCATAGAATATGATTCCATTTGGGAGAGAATTCTTCCTTTCCATTTAACATTTATGCGTCTGCCAGGAACCATTGAAGGGAAAATCTGGATCCTCACAAATTTTGCAGGGTATGAAATAAACAAGCGTAGACTTCTCAAATACATCCATAGTATTTGGAACTTTGGTTATCAGGGGAAAAAACGGCCAAAAGATTCTGCCTTTGAACACTATTTATTTGTGGAAGGAAAATTTCAAGATCCTTATTTCCGTTGTTCTCTTTCAAAGAACGTCTTTTCTGTCAAAGGCCGCAGAAGATGCACCCAGAAAGCCCCACTGGAGACCCAATGGAAATGGAACAGGATTCGGGTCCCAAATGACTATCAATATTACAGTATCATGAAGACTCTGGCCCAGGCCTTGAATGCCGCTTATTCCTCCAGATTGAGGAGAAGAAGGAAGGAGGGAGAAAAGACTTTGGGGTCTCCAAGGCTGCAGCCGTGGCAGGTATGGAGGTCCCGATATGGATCCATTAATCTTAGATCCTTTAGAGGAGGAATCCAGAGGAGAAGGAGGGGAACCTTCTCAACAGATCTGTCCAATTCAATTGCTGAGGGAGTAATGGTTCCAAAGAGTAGATACCATGGCATTTTGATATTAAACTCTGCTCATTTGAAAATGTTGTATTCTTTTTTAAATAAAATTCCTGTATTTGTGGGTTTGTGATGAGCATGGTGGAATTTCCCCTTTGTTCCGTCCCCACTGCAGGCAGCTAAACCCCCCTCTTCTCCTCCAGTGAAAGGGAGCCTGGGGTGGATCTGGGTGTTTCATTGGGAGAAAAGGGCACGGAGAATCTGAGGAAATGCAAAGAGTGAGAATCAAATATAAATAGGAGATAGGCAGCATTAACTAACAGCCAACAAAGAAGCAGCTGGAACCTCTCCAGCGATGCTCCGTGTGAGGGACGGAGGCCTCCGGATGACCATGTGTCTCGGTCAAACCGGCTGCTTCCGTCTCCTCCAAAGGCTGAGAGAAAAGGGAGTCTGGCTTCAGACCATACAGTTAGGCTTATCTGCCCCCGGCCATTTGGTGGGGCTAGAGCAACAACAGCACAATAGATACATGTTGTGGCATGATAACCTTTATAAATTTGGAGGAGACCCTGAGACCATCTAGCCCAACCCCTCCTCTCTGCAGGAATCCCAGTTAACGCTTCTCTGGCTGATGGCTGCTCAGTCTTTGCATTCAGATAATCCATAAAGAGGAAACTGAACTTCTCTGCTTTACTGGCTCAGCTCTAAAACAGCTCAAACTTTATATATATAGCTAGCAAGCTCTAACTGCTAGGTGGGAGACCTAAATAGATCCATTTCTAGCTCGTTTGCTTTCATCAGTAGGCCACACCCATATCTTATGTATCCTCCCTGTAAAGGTACAGTATCAATTTTCTTACTTCTTCGTAGGTTTTATGTGTGTTTTTCTTCTAGCCAGGTTTTCCCTACGTAACCAAGGTTTTTTGTAGCAGGGTTATTTCCTACGTAGCTCAAGATGTTTGTATAGCCATAGTGGGGTGATATCTCAAATCACCACTTTCAGGCTTTATCAGACATTTTGTGTTGTCTGTTGTGAGACTTAAGGGAGACTGGGATAGTACTATTTCTGTCTTATGAGACTTCTTCAGCCAGCCACACCCTTATTTTATGACTCCTCCCTGTAAAGGTCAAATATTTATTTTTATTTTGTTCTTTTAATTCGTAGGTTCATATGTATAATACTTTTCTAGTCAGGGTTTTTTCCTATGTAGCTCAAGATGTTTGTATCATAAGACAGAAATAGTACTATCCCAGTCTCCCTTAAGACAACACAAAATGTCTGATAAAGCCTGAAAGTGGTGATTTGAGATATCACCCCACTATGGCTATACAAACATCTTGAGCTACGTAGGAAAAAACCCTGACTAGAAAAGTATTATATATACTTTTATATATATAAATATATATATATTTATATTTGTTCAGCTAAAATCTCCTCTCTTGTAACTGAATTCATTTTTCCACGTCTGACACTCTGGAATAATAGTGAGCAGATCTTACACTCGTGTGTAACCTGTGTCAGTGATTGGAAGAGGGCTGCATCCTCCCTTCTCCAACCGAGAGATTGTGTCAGTTGGAAAAGGGGCTCCCAGACTCCTCCTGATCTTCAGCTCTTCTCCTTGTTCTCTTTCCTCAAGGCTAAGAGCAGCTCCTTTGATCTCTTCCTTGGCTTCATTGTCCTTCCCGGAAGTTCACATGTAGATTTTTTGCAAATTCTCCTCCAAGCGTGGTGCCTGCATGGGGACCTGGTCCTTGAGTTGGGGTCTCCCCTAACCAGAACGTTCACTTCCTGAGATTCTTATGGCTGCATTTGCCTTCCTTCCATGAACATCTCCCTGCTGACTCAATCGTCAAAACTACGATTTGAGATCATTTCCACAAACATAAATATCAAGTTTGATATCCCTCATCTTTCTTCCAGTCCATCATTCGTGTTCTTATATGAGACTCTATTGTTAGTCAAGTCCTAGTTGCTAAAACTCAGATTTTTTCTATTGCTTTTTACTCCTGCATCCTTCTCTGTGTCCTAATCATACATATTGTTTCTGGAAACTTGATATTCCTCTTATTAAATTTTATTTTATTCAAAAAGGTAAAATACAAGTTTTGGAAAATAAAACTATTACAAAGACAAAACAAAACTAGACAAAATATATTTTTTTTAATTGTGCATTAAAAACAGACAAAAACATGCATATTGTCCCCCCATTTGAAGACAATACAGCAATAATAGTTTCTCCCCCTTGCAAAATAGGCCCACAATTATAAACTACACATCTATTTGCAAATACTTGACTTGTCATCTATCTGCTCTATATTAAAAATGTATTTAACAGGCAATCCAACAATAAAGTTAAATTTAAAAACTTCAAAATGGTCTGTTATCTGCTATTGTATTTAACTCACAGAAAATTTACAGGAGCTTCTTATCTACCACAGACCACCACAATCATTATCTCTGATCCATCCAGAATCTGTCCAGGTTTAAACATCTTTGTTTGATTCTTAATAATAATGCATTTCCTTAAAATTTTAATTAGAATCTTTCCCAACAACTGCTTTCCATTCCCCAAAGTCACAGGGCCTCCTGTAAATTGAAACACAATGACTCTTAAGACTTCTTTTCCTGTTAAATATGACAAGTCCATTCCCAATCTCCCTCAATCTTCTAGAAAGAATCCATTTCATCAGTCATCTGTTCTGTCCATTTTGAGTCTTCAGGGTCCATGGCCTCTCCAGCCATCTCCAAGCAGCCTGCCTTCAAACCAGACTCTTTCTTCAGGGATGCCAGCAGCAGATTCAGTTCCAGTCCATCCATCCAATCTATCCGATTCAACAATTATTGCTTGTTGACTTCTGGTTTGGCGTCACGGCGAGACAGTCGGGGAAATAGCGCGCTCTGATGAGCCCCACAAATCGCCGCCGATGAGTCTTTGGACCGGAACTGTCCCATAAGTGGACAGGGATGAAAGAGAGGTGCCTTGGATGACCAGAGGAATGGGCAAGTTCCTCAGAGGTCGGAGGGAACTCTCTGCAAGTTGGCGGCGGGGGGCGGCAGCCATGGTGGCTGCCATAAAGCTGTGATAAACCGAATAAACCGAATAAAGAAGGAGGAGGAGGAGAATGGAAAAGAACAATGCTCTTTGAAGCTGGGTGAGTGACACCAACTTAGGCTTGAAATAACGCCAGAGCATTGATTATTACTGGTAAGACCCCTAGCCTTAAAACAGCAGCTATGGATATGAGGGGCACAGAAGATTTGGTAAAGTAACTTTGGGAGGAAAAGACCCTCTAGGAAACCTATTTTTACAGATTTAATTGGAATCATTAAACATTGAGACATGCTAAAAAGGCTGGGAAAAAATTGAAATTGAAATTGAACTTAAGAAAAAAGAAAAAGGAAGAAAGTAGGGAATTAACATCTTGTAAACTTAAAATAAGAAGAGAGTCGAAATAGATTGTTACATAATCACAACAAAATGGATACTGCTGTGACTAAGGGAAAATGTGGATTGTAGAGAAACACCTTCTGCTTTAAAAAGAAATACTATGATTTGCTCCTTGCTTCAGATTACTTTGAAATAACAGATAATAGTCATGGGATTTTGGTTGTGTAGGCTTTTTCTTTGTCTACGGATGGCTTTTTGGTGGAAAGAAAGAGGAAATACAATGGAACCCTTATAATTACTGCCAATTGGCGCAGGAACAAAAGAAGTCAAATGGCATAGGAACAAAAGAAGTAAAGTCAATGTACTTTGCAAGGAATAGAAGCAACAAAAGAACTAAAATGACATATGGAGAATTAAATTTGGCAACACTGAATTGGAAATGAAATATATATTGATAGAAGGAAATGAAGAAATAAAATATACATGGTTGGGAAATAAGAATATAAAAACAGTTTGATTAAAATGAAAATGTAATATTTAGATGAATATCAAATGTAAAAAGGAGGTGTTTATAGAGGTATAAAGGTATAAAGATGCAAAATCAAATAATGTGATTAAAATAGAAAACTAAAGTAAAGGTGGATAATAATGTATGAATATGAGAATAATCTAAGAAATTGTATTGATTTATATGAGGATGTGTTTGATGGAATATGTCTCAATGTTAAATTGCAAACAAAGCTTAGAATGATAACAAGAGTAAATATGAATATCTAAAGTATAGATGGATGGTAAAATAAGATAGGGGGTTACACAGAGACAAACAGTAAAACTAAGAATATGCTTAACGAATATGTTAGAAATAGCTAAATAATAGATGAATATACTGAGAAACAGCTAAAACGACAGATGGAGTGGTTTTTCCTGGGTGTGATAGCAAAACAAAGAAGAATATGCTGGAAAACAACTAAAATAATACAAATGTACTGAGAAACATTTAAAATAATAAATGATGATGCTGGGAACCAGCTAAACAATAAGTGAATATGCTGGGAATCAGCTAAACAATAAATGAACATGCCGGGAAACAGCGAAAAGAATATGATCAAGAGATAAACAGTTAAAAGAAATATGATTTAAGTCGGAATTGTAACAAAATGATTGTGTTGGGATCAGTATTGAAAATAAAGATGATTATGTTATGAATTGTAAAATGAATACAAGATTGCAATGATGAAATGATTCTGTGTAAAACGAAGACTGTAAAAGTGATAAGTCCAAGAAATTTAGGTGTAAATTAAAAGAGTTTTAGGATTTAAAGATTTAACAAAGCGGGTTTGGGGATAAGGGGATATAGATAGAATTTAGAGTAATAATTGGAATTAAAAACAGAGTTGTGTTATTTGGAAATTAAGATTTGTGGTGATATAATAGAAAGGTAAATGTTTAGATTAAGATTTTACAATTTGTGCAAAAAATTTCTTTTGTGTTTTTGGTTTTTATCTTAAAAACATGTAATGGTGGAAATCTGGGAAAGAGCTTGACGAAGAGGGGTAAGCAATTGTACCTATTTATGACCCGATCAAGGCTATGTTCTTAAAAGATATATTTTATGTGTATGCTTTGGGGAAATAAATAAATAAAAAACAACAACAACACTTGCTTCTGATTATCGCCCTTAAATTTATTTATTTGTTTTTTTATTAAAAAGTTTTATAAGAAATACAAACAATTTTCTCCCCCCCACCCTTCCCCTTCCCCACATAAATTATACATTTTCTTATACATAAGAAATCCTCCATATACATGTTTCCCTTAAAGAAAGCATTAAAATAAAACATTTTAATTATATTCGGAATTGCTCTTCTCCTTCTTCCCTCATTCCACAACAAACCTTCTTCTCCTCCTCCTTTCTTTCCCATCCCTCCCTCCTCTTCCCTCCTACCTCTTCTCCCACCTCATCCTACTTCCTTTCCCTTTCCCCCACTTCTCTCTTCTTTTCCCCCTTCTCGCCTTCACTCCTACTCCTGTCCCCTTCCCTTCCCTTCCTCCTCTCCTTTCTTCCATTCCTCTCCCTCCCTCTCCTCTTCCTACCCCCTCCTCCTCTCTCCTTTCTAACTTCTTTGCTGTGAAATATTTTCCTCCTTTAGTATCTGAGCAACTCCTATATTCTAGAATACACTTTCTTCTGCTAAAACATTCATCACTTCCCCCCCTTATCCCCCCCTCCCCACCCCACCCCTGACTTCCCAGAGCAAAAACAGGGTATAGCATCTAACAAACATATGCTAAAATAAACTAACAACTTATAAAGTTCAAAGCTCCCACATGTTCTTTAACTCCCTTTACTCCAATTCAACAACCTCCCTTTTATAAATTCTCAATACCAATTAAATTAAATTCATTCTTCCTACTTATATAGAAAAAAAGAAAAAAAACCTTTTTCTTAATGCATAATCCAATACTTTAGCAGTCTTACAAGCAATAAAAATCATGAATAAATTCCATTTCTATACCAGAAAAAAAAATTTTCATCTTAGAATCTTGCACATTTTATCTCATATATCTTTTAAAATAATATAGTCTAATGTTAAGCATTTTAAAAATCTCTTAATACCTTTAAAACACTTATTTACCAAATATAAATTTCAGAATCTATAGGAGGGTATCTTTCAATTTTTCAATTAACCGTCTTAATACCTCTAACTTTTTTAAAAGAACAACCCTTAACTATCCAAAACTAATTATCAGTTTACAATAAAATTCTGAGTTTGACATTAATCCTCTTCACTTCAAAGGGTTAAACATCCTAAAAGCTTATATAATTTATCTCATATATCTTGTAGAATAATGTTAAACATTTTAAAAATCTTTTAATACCATTAAAACACATATTTGCCCGTTGCCAATTTCAAAATCCACAGGAGAATATCTTTCTTAGTCTTCTGTTCTTCACTTCTTTTTGTATTTTTTCCAATCCTTTTTTTTAATAAATTCTTTCAACAATCCCCCCAGTTTTATTTTGGAAACTTTTAAAATAGTGATTTGAGGTTGATGTTTCTGAAATACTCGCTCTCTTCTTGAAGTCAGCTTTTCTAACTTAAAATCCTCATCTCGTCTCTTCTGGTTTGTATAATCATTCAATCCATTTCTTTGTCCATATAGCCAAAATTTGTTGCCATAAAGATTGTCAGCTTGCAATAAAGAAACCATTTGTTGCTTTTCTGTCATTGGAATGGAAACGTCCACCAAAACCTTTGTTTCAGCTGTACCAGCCAATCTCTTAATCCTGTCCATTTCCTGATCTTCCAAAAACAAATTCTTCTGAATAATTTCCTGCTTATAATTTCCCAAGCTATTTTTTGAAAAAGCCCTTTCGATTGTATTCAGTAGGGCTGAGGTAAAAAAGTCTAGAAGTTCTTGAAAAGCCTGGACAGTCACGGCTTGGGAATTTGCTGATTCACCAGCCCTGTTGTCAGCCATATTTCAGCTACTTTGTATTTATCCAGCTATCAGGAGAACAATTCAACTTTTTTCCACACAGTATAAAGACCAGATTTTAGTTAAAGTCAGTACCAAATTCTTTTCCTGGCTGCTTCCATTTAAAACTTTCTCTTAGGGTGTAATCCAATAGCTGTAAAGTGTTAACAAGCCATTAACGAGCACTTCCCCTGGTAGTTTCTTCCTCCCGCCCCCAGACGCCATTTTCTGCATATTAAAGCGGAGTTAAAGTGTTACTTGCAAATTTCCTTTTGTTTTCTCCTGATTTGCTCCGTCTGCAATCGAAGTAAAGATGTTAAAAATCCCCCCTGTTGATTTTTCTGCAGATTCTGGTCGCAGCTTCTAGCTCGGCTTCAGCGGAGTCGTTTCTGGTCCGGAGTGGCTTGACAGGCTTCAATAGGGAGCCCACACCCTTTGCGCCCCAGGATTTCTCCTAGCGCACTTGGGGGGGCTCTACCCCCGCCTGTCGACTCTTCTCTCTCCCCTTTGCCCGGGGAGAGGGTTCCAAGCCTCCAGACAGCAGTTTTTCGGCTGTTCTGGGGCTTTTACAGAACCAGAAAACGGGTGCTCAAAAAGGAGCATCTTCAAAGCTGCGGAGCCAGGCAGGAAGTTCGCCCTTAAATTTATTTAAAAGGTGCTGGTGCTTACCTATAAAGCCCTTCATGGCTGAGGCCCAGGGTACTTGCAGGACCATCTCCTGCCGTTGTCCCATCGTCCCGTGCGCTCCCACAGAATGGGCCTCCTCAGGGTGCCGTCGACCAAACAATGTCGGCTGATGGCCCCCAGGAGGACAGCGTTCTCTGTGAGAGCCCCGACCCTCTGGAATGGATTGCCCACTGAGCTCAGGACAGCTCCCGATCTCCTTTCCTTCCGTTGCGAGCTGAAGATGTGGCTCTTCCGTCACCTCAACTGATCCGTTTGGGTGTACACTGTTATAATTTTAAACTGTTTTAATTGGGCTGTTGATTTTAATTTTATTTTATTGTGATTTGTATTGGAAATTGTCATTTTGTAAGCTGCCTTTAGTCCCTCGGGAGAAAGGCAGCATATAAATCACAATAATAAATAAATAAATAAATAAATAAATAAATAAATAAATCCATTGTTATTTTATCAAACTTTTTAAATGAAGTTTCAAATAAGGCTTGTAAGTTGAAAGACTTTATATTCTTTAAATCACATCAAATTAGCTTATTCTAAGATCGTATTAATTACCGTATTAATGACAACATAGAAAAATTGATGACCAATGGCAAATTGTTATCCATCATCTTTAAGTTTCCTAAGGAAAGATTAAAAAGGGTTAAAAACTATTTGAGTATCATTTTTTTTAAAAAATCAAGTTTTATTGATTCCCCCCACCCCACCCCCACGTTCACCCGCATCTTTTTTTGAACAGAGTATTGGCCTTATCTTATCTTATACAACTTTTCAAGTTCAAATACATTTTACTCAATTACAATTTTTGCCAAAATCTTCCTTTTTTCCCTATTTTTTCTTTAATTCATATCTCAATATTTCTATATTTATTTATATAAACAACATCGTCATTTGCTCTCATTCTAATTTTCCTGTTTGTTCACATTTATTCTCTTTTATTTTTTAACAATTTCTTCTTTATCTTCATATATTCATATGTGTGTTTGGGGTTGCTTTTCTTCCGTTTCCTCTTTTTTGTTATACAGCAATCTTTTTTCTCACTCTCTTCCCTCTCCCTCTCTTCCTTCCTTCCTTCTTACTTACTTTCCCTCTTCTCTTGCTCCTAAAAACTATTTGAGTATCATTTTGAAGACAGTTTTATCCACTTATTATCCACCCCTCAGGTTTCTAATCATACCACAAAATTGTTTTTGAGTCCTTTACTGAAATCCAGTGATATCACCAGAGTTCCCATCATCTATTTAGGAAGTGTAATGATGGGTGAGAATGACTTTTGGGATGAGGGGAAGAGAGGCTGCCCAGAGAAGGATCAGAGAAGAGGGGAGAATCCTGCAGCTGCATAATGGGAGAGAAAGAAACTCAGAAAGGATCCTGGCTAACTTTTCAGGCTGAGAAAAGAGTTGGTGGGAGATTTGTTCTTTGAGATTTGCAACATTTTGTTAATGTTGCATTACAATTAATTAGAATTAGCACATCTGGAGGTGTTTTCCATCAGGATGACCAGGGAGAAGATTAGCCTAAGAACTTTCTTCTTGATCAACCCATGCTTTCTGGGAATCAACCTCTTGTTCTCAAAGAGTTTATGAATCATCTTTTTTTTCTCTGTTCATTTTATTTTCATCTGCTCTAGAATGTTCCCTATATTTGACCAATTGTATCAATTATATACTTTTTCTATATTTTGTCAGTAAATGATTGACAAATTTTTCTCAAACTTTCTTGTTCACTTATGAAGATGATGGCAGTATTTGTATCCTAATTAAGCATATTTGGAGATGAGACAATTGTAGAAGAAAGATTCAATGTGGGATAAGAAACAAAGTTCTCTGTTTTTCAAATTCCTGGATGTTCCCATTCTAGTTTCATCCCTTTCTGGAGAAGAATGAATTTTGGAATATTTCTGACAGAAAACTGTACTTGGACCAAAATGGAGAGATAACAGCAGATCTGAGAATTGACAGCTTGTTGGTTCTCCCCAAGGGGGATGTCATGGAAGAGACTCTGGCGTATTTTGAAAGGCAGAGATTTACTATCATCCAAGATGCTCTTTCACGGCTAAAGTTGCTCAATAAGGTGAGAGAAATTTTTGTGTCTTTTCTCTGTTTTCCAAAGGTCCCATTTCAAGTGGGCAAAGCCTGGAGTCTCCAGGGTGGTTGGCCTCCCATGCCAGGTGGTGTCATCTCATGGAAGCTCTTCAAGAGACGGGACCTAAGTGGAGAGGCTTTGCCATGTTTTATGGAAACCTTTCAAGATCTTACTGGTCAGAGGTTTCTTTCTTCATCACAGTTTAATTTCATATTAAAAAACCTAATAGAATAAAATTTCCTAAATCTTTTACAGTAAACTTTATTATCAGTTTTAATAAGAATATATCATCATTTAAATCTTTTTTCACTTCCATCCCTCTAGACTACATTAAATAGAAAAGTCCTTTATTGCAGTGTTAAATGCCAGAAGCAAAAGGGAGGAACTAAAGAAAAAAACTGCCGTGGTCACATCTCCTACACCTGTTTGGAAGGAGTCAAAGACTTCATATGTACCTCCATGAAGCCCAGAATCTACTTGTCTAATGTCTATTTCTCCCCCCATTTTCTATGGATGGAGATCCTAACATATTTTCTTTGGCATTCCTTTTCTTCTGCTCAGTCCCTGCCTGAGTCCAAATGTGTGGAAAGTTGTCATCCTGGATTTGTCAAGAGGGCTCGAGAAGGAGAGCCAGTTTGCTGCTACGACTGCATTCCTTGTCCGGAGGGGACCTTCTCCACTCAGGAAGGTGGGTCACACTGAGGAAAATGGGAGGCTTTGTGGAACTGGATCCATCCAGAGGATTTTCATGAAAGTGCAAGTTAAAAGACAGATTGAAGCTCACCTGTTGTTGTTTTTAACCTGCACAATCTCATCTAAAAGGAAGTAAATCAAAAAGATTTGGAAGGAGGGGCTGGGAAGAAATGGGAGGAGGGGGTGGCAGACTGGGCAAGCTTTACTAACAGCAGAGGAAACATCTCTTCTGCTTTTTAGTTTGGATATGTGCTGCTAAATTCACCTTTCTAGGAACATCTGAGTTCTTTGAAACTTGATGAATTGTTTCAAGTCCACCTTCTGAAAGACCTTGTAATCCACTGTATATTGGCCTCTCTTGAGGATCACTGAGAAGGTGTCACTGGGCCATAATCTGGTACTGTGGATCGTTATGGGGGGAACTCATTACACAAATAGTCTGCCAGTCATGTAGATCAATCAATCAATCAATCAATCAATCAGAATAGAGTAGAAGGAACTTTGGAGGTCTTCTAGTCCAGCCCCCTGTTCAAGCAGGAGACCCTAAACCATTTCAGACAAGTGACTGTCCAGTCTCTTCTTAAAAACCTCCAATGTTGAAGCACCCACAACTTCTGGAGGCCAGTTGTTCCACAGGTTAATTGCTCTCATTGATAGGAAGTTTCTCCTTAATTCCAGGTTCCTTCCAGATGTTACAAGATACTGTAGGTATCCTCCAAGTCCAGGATATTAAGTGCCATGGAGCAGGACTCAAGATGTTTGCCTAAAAAGATTGTATGATTCATTATTAACCTCTAATAATGTAGGTTCCTATGAAGATTCTACACATTACACAGGAAATAATTAACATCCTAGAACCTCCCTCAACTTCATATACCTAGCTACATTTTTTAATTAAAAAAATATCCTTCTTAGGCTCTTTTTAATGAAATAGTTAAGAAATACTTCTTGGAAAATGCCTGTGGTATCAGCTGTTATCCAAAGAAGGTTTTTCTTGCAAGAGAAAAGGACAGAATATTAAAGATATATTGCTTTTTTTGCTTTCTCAGATATGGAAAAATGCACCAAGTGTCCAGATGATAAATACCCAAATGAGGACAGAGTCCAATGTATCCCCAAAGTCATAACCTTCCTATTTTATGAAGAATATCTGGGCATCATCCTGGTTTCTTTTGCCCTACTCTTGTTCTTAATCACAGGCCTTGTTCTAATCATCTTTATTAAATACCGAGAAACTCCCCTTGTCAAAGCCAACAACCGGGACCTCTCCTACATCCTCCTGGTCTCCCTCCTGCTCTGCTTCTTATCTCCTCTTCTCTTCATTGGTCAACCAAGGAAAGCTACCTGCCTTCTCCGACAAACGGTTTTCAGCATCATCTTCTCAGTTGCCGTTTCTTCTCTCTTGGCCAAAACCATCACGGTGGTGCTGGCCTTCCTGGCCACAAAACCAGGAAACCGAGTGAACAGATGGTTGGGGAAGAGCTTGGCCAACTCCATCATCCTCTCTTGTTCTGCTGTCCAAATTCTCATCTGCTCCATCTGGCTGGGAGTTTCTCCCCCCTTCCCTGACTCTGACCTCCACTCCCAGCCTGGAGAGATCATCCTGCAATGCAACGAAGGGGCCGTTGTCATGTTCTACGTCACCCTCAGCTACATGGGCTTCCTGGCTGCCATCTGCTTCACGGTGGCTTTCTTGGCCAGGAACCTGCCTGGGGCCTTCAACGAAGCCAAGCTGATCACCTTCAGCATGCTGGTCTTCTGCAGTGTCTGGGTGACTTTTGTGCCCACCTACCTGAGCACCAAAGGGAAATACATGGTGGCTGTGCAGGTCTTCTCCATCCTGGCCTCCAGTGCTGGTCTGCTGGGCTGCATCTTCATCCCCAAGTGCTACATTATCCTTCTGAGGCCAGACCTCAACACAAAGGAGCAGCTCACAGCCAGAACAAATGTAAAAACATGAGATATAACACAAATGTGATATTGAAAGAATTGTTAAAAGTTTCTTTTATTTGAAAGGAGATATTTTTTCCATTTAGATAGTATGCAGGAATCAAAGAAAATCATATGTATATGTTTCAAATTTGGAAATTATTGAATTGTGCACAAAGGAGCAGTTTACAGCCAGAAGAAATGTGTAAATGTGAGACTGAGGAATTTTAACTTTTAACATTTTCCACAGTCCAAATGTAGAAAATGGTCCAAGCTCTTCTCCATGCATGAGTAGGCCAACTATTTTTCTTGAGATAAATAAAAGGTGTGTGGAAGATTGTGAGGAGACAAATTTCTTGGAGAAATGGGAGCATGTTAGCAAGACAGAAATATAGAAGGAATGTATGGAGCAACGTTGATGCCCTCATTTCTCAGTACATTTCACCGAAAACTGCTGTGACAACGCAACTGAGATGTTTCTTTTTGTTAACACAATAACTTTTTCTTGAGGGTAGCAACAATACAAGTCTTGTTAATTCTGAATATTCATGCTTACATCATCTATTAAATGAAATATGCATATGTATGATTATCATTTTCTCCTCCTTTCCTCGAATGTATAAATATGAGTGCATCCTTTTGTCTGTAAGATTTCCTCCCACTATTTTCTGTGGAGAATTCCTCTAATGGACACTGAATAAATAACAACTGCTGTGAGCCTGGATTATTGGTTTTTTAGGTCCTGTGTTTCATTCCAGAGAAACTGGTGTCAGGAGTGGGATTCACAATCTTCCATCTGCCACCAGGGACAACAGATGGGGCAGCCCTATAGGGTGAGTGTTGTGAGATTGATCCCATAACCCTTCCCACTGCCACATAAAGGCACCATTTAGGAGTGTGTGTGAGGCCACAGACTCTGTGTCTAAGAGTCTCTTGTGGCTGGAAAGGTTTGTGGTCCCTTCCATCCCAATTCTCAGCCACCCTGGCCCTGCTGTGAGCTCAGCTGAGCGATTGCTGGAGGAGTCCAGGAAGCCAGGGAGAATTTGGCTTTGCAGAGTGAGTGGGACCCTCTGTGTGGAAGAATGGAGGCTGACCCTGAGGCTCTGTGCAAACTCCCCTTTTCCTGTTGTCTGAATGGAGGAACTCAGCTGATCAAGCAGGGAGGGAAGTGGACAATGGGGCTCAGGCAGGCTGTCAGGGTTCCAACCGATGCCCTAATTAAATCATGAGCCTCAAGCCGAGCTTCAAAAGAAATCCAGTTATTGATTAGGAGCTTCATGTAGGCACGGACCAAGTGAAGCCAACACTGACCTCACATAATTCGCACCTTGGCTCTGACTCTGTTTCCCACACCCCCCAAGGTGTGTCATCAGTCTCATTCCCCAACGAAGCAATTTTGCGGGTTGTAGAAGTCACTCCCTCCAGCCACTCTGGATCTCCATGAAGATGGGCTTGAGGTTTGCAGGCTGGAATGTGCTTTGTTTTGACTGAGATGCGAATTCCTCAATACAGCTGTGAGGCTCAATTCCCCAACCCCCTGCCTATGGCAACTCAAGAGGAGTTCGGGAAGGCTTCACGAGTTGACAGAGACTCTGCTTGGGAAAGGAATCTTTCCCAAAGAAACAGAGAAACCCTCTGTGTCCCAGGGCTGGGAGGGGGTTCGATGCCCCCACTGATGCCTCCACAGGCTGTGAAAAAAGGGAGGGAGTGAAATTGGAAGGGATGACTAAAAAAAAACTTTTCCTCCTTGTGAGAAGAGAAATTCCTGTATCTGCACAAGGCTGTGACAGAATCCATGCAAACAGAAGCAAGAAAGCCAGTTTTTATTTTTGTTAGATTTTTCCACAGTGTTTTATTGTTTTTTCAAATAACTAAAGGAGGTGAACATGTCCAACTCTTCTTTTCCCCACAACTATCACCCCGTGAGGTGGGCTTGTCTGAAAGAGAGTGTCTGTCCCGAGGTCAGCAAACAGGCTTTCAGGGCTAAGGCAGGACTTGAACTCAGGATCTCTTGCTTCCTAGCCTGATGCCTTAACCATTGTCACTGGATGGCGGATTTTGGGCAAAGGCCCTGCTGGTCCCCACTGCCGCCTCGTCTTCCGACAGAACCCCAAGTCCCCCCTCCCCCTCCCGGGTCTTTCTGGGGTAGAGCAGCCCCATCCGAGAGCAAAGGAGAGAAACTCCTGGACACAGAGAGCTCCACCCCCCCATCACAGCCCCTCCCTCTTGCCAGGGTTCAGCTGAGACTCACTGCCTGTAGGGGGCAGCATAGAGTCTGGCCCTGAAGTCCTAGCTGGGCCCTGGGAATTGAAATCGGGGCCTCCAGGTGATTGGCTCAAAGCCCCCAGCTGCCTTTGATGCCTAAGGCGGGACTAGAACTCAGAGTCACTTACTGATTGGCTCAAAGTCACTAATGCCCCACCTTTTCTTGATAGCAAGATAGGTTGGCCACTGCCTTCTCCTCAACCTACCCCTGGCATTTCCTGGTGGTCTCCCAGCCCTGCTTAAGCTTTTCCAAATCAGACTGCTGCTGCATCCTACAGCTAGTCCTCCACTTACAACCAGAATTGGGACCAGAAATGGCATTGCTAAGCTAGGCGGTTGTTAAGTGAGTTGTGCTGAATTTTACCATGTTTATTGCCACCGTTGTTAAGCGAATCACTGGGGTTGTTGAGTGAATCCTGCAGCCATGAGACAAACCGTTTCGCCCACTGATTTTCCTGGTCATAAATCCATGTTGATTGCCAGGCACCCAAATAGTGACCTTGTGTCCAAGGGGATGCTGCACTAGTCGTAAGTGCGAGGACCCATCATAGATGGCTTTTTTTCAATGGCCGTGGGACTTGGAACTGTCGCCAAATGAATGGATATAAATCGAGGACTCCCTGTAGGATACTTGGTTAGGGACTGAACCAGCGGTGAAATGTAAAATTTGTTACTACCAGTTCTGTGGGCGTGGCTTGGTGGGGGGGGGGTAATGTGACTGGGTGGGCGTGGCCAACTTTTTTTTTTTTAATTTTTAAAAGCATTTTTCAGGTTGTAGAAAAAATGCTTTTAAAAGTAAAAAAAAAAAATAGCCTCTGATGATCGCACAGCTGAGCTGGGCTTGGGGGGGGGAGGGGGGGCAAAGGGATTTTTGCTACCGGTTCCCTGAACCACCCGCCGCCATCGCTACTGGATCAGGAGATCCGGTCAGAACCGAGAGCATTTCACCCCTGCCTTGGGGGGAGGGGAAACAGGGTCAGGGCCCAGGTGCGAATTAAGTGAGCTCAGAGTTGGCTTCCCTTGGTCCGTGCCTACCTGAAGCTCCTAATCAACACCTGGATTTCTTCTGAAGCTCCGCTCGAGGCTCACGATTCAATTAGGGCATCGGTCGGAACCCTGACAGCCTCCCTGAGCCCCATCGTCCACTTCCCAGCTAGCAGGAATTACCTTGGCTAAACCAGGTGAAAAAGCCAAGGAAACCAGCAATTTTCAGACTCCTCGACGGCCTTTGCGAGACAAACTAATTCAAATCAAATCACAAAATGCACAAAAGAAGCCTCTAAATTCCAAAATGCTGCAGAAGAAACTGCCTCCAAATCCCCGTCCTGACCGAACCGAGAATCGAAGGCTGTGGTGGCTTCCGCCTCCATTCAAGCTTCTTTTTGAGCTGCTGGCTTCCCTCTTCCTTCTTCCTCGGATCCTCCCAGCTGAGGACCCAGCGGATCTCTTCCCTGAGATTGGCAAGATCCTACTGATCTTGCGCAGAATCCCAAGGATTCCCCCTCCTTTGATCTAGAAATTAGAAATCCTTCTGGGTTAAATACCAGGCAGGTAGGAGTTCATACAGGGATCTTCCTTAATTTCCCCTAATGAATATAGTACAGGTAAGTCCTCGACTGACAGGAATTCATTTAGTGACCGTTCAAAGTTAAAACGGCGTCACTGAAAAAAGGTGACTTATGACCATTTTTTACACTTTCGACCTTTCTAGCATCCCATGATCGCTTGATCAGAATTCAGCCACTTGGCAAATGGTTCGGACTTATGACCGTCGCTGTGTCCCAAGGTCACGGGACCCCCCTCTTGCAACCTTTCCACAAGCAAAATCAAGGGAGAAGACAGATTCACTTAACAACCGTGATACAAACTTCACAACTGCTGTGATTCACTTAACGACTGTGGTGAGAAAGGTCGTAAAATGGGACAAAATTCACTTAACAAACATCTCCCTTAACAACAGAAATTTGAGGTTCAATTGTGGTCGTAAGTCAAGGACTACCTGTAACTCCTTTTTCATGCAATGTCCTGGTGTCTGATCTTTGTCTCATCCCAGCTATGAACTCAGCCTAAAGTCTCCTCTGATATCCACCGTTTCCCTCGTCTCCTGATAACCCCATTCCTTCCTTCACCCTCCGTTGTGGCTGACATAGTCAATGGGGAGGTGGGGGATCTGGCAGCCCCTCTTAGTTCCTCAAACTGATCTCCCCCCCACCCCCCTTGGATGCTTTCCTCCCAAGGTCCTCCTGGCTGGAGGGGCAGAGAGGAGCCAAGGGCTGGCTTTTCCAGGGGGGGTCTGTGGATGGGAGCCTCCCCGGTGCTTCCTAAACCCCCTGAGAAGCTCCTGTTCAATGTAGGCTTCCTGGCCATGAAAAAGAGCATGGAGTGTGTTAGTTCAAGGCCAGTTTGACCTTCCTTTGAAGGACTCTTGGAATCTTGTGCTGCACAATTTATATCAGGAAGGGAAGTTGGGTTCTGCCAGCCGTAGGTTTCTGATTCGGCCATTACTAAGTGAATTACAGGGTGTTTTTTTATGCTTCAGATGATAATGAGTCTCTAGAGCCAGACTTTTACTGTTTTTACTACTTTTATTCGTTTTTCAACACTGCACAGTTGCCCTGCCTGGTGGATGCTCTCAGGACAAACTGTATAAAATATATACCATCCTCATTCAGATACTGTTAAGTCTGCTGTTCTCTATAACCTTCACACAGATCATAAGATTTCTACTGTCCATCGTACGAGTCAAATGGACAGAAACAGAAGCAATCTGGGCGCCAGGTGCTGAATTCTGTGCAGCCTCCCTCCCCACACCTGCTGTAAAGTAAGACATTCCCCCCAAATAAGACTTAATATCCATTGTTTTATACTTAAAATGGTCACGAGGGCACAGAACCGGTTGTTAAATTATTTGAATCTCACACCTGCTGGATTTTGTTGAACTCTTTTCCGTTGATGGTGGGGCCATGCAGGCTATAAAAGCTTGAGTGGATCAGAGAGACAGAGAGATGGACCCAAATGAGCTGCTGTGACCATCCCTTGACAGACCCCATGCATTGGTTGGCCTCTGCGTTTTCTTCCACCAGTGCAGGTAAGTTGCTCTTGATCAGGGGAGTGGCCTCACCACAACCTGGGGAGCCTTAAGGCAATGAAAGCCCCTCAAAATGTTGGTGGGACTAACAGGAGAAAGGATAGAGTCCCTCAGGGCTGGAAGGAACCTCAGAGGTCTTCTAGTCCAACCCCCTAATGGTTTTCTGATCTTTTCTAGAAAACCTCCAGTAATGGAGCCCCCATTAAGAATAAGCCTTATTATCATTGCTAAAGAAACAATTTACCAGTCAGTTATATTTTATTCTTTTTTTCTTCTCCAATCCCCAGAAAAAGGTGTCTGCAAGTGTCACTAGAGCAACGAAGTAAAGATGTGGAGGCTGCCATCATCATGGTGAAGCCCTACATACCGGAACCCATCAACCCCAAAATCACCATCATTGATGAACGAAGAAGGATGTCAGACGTTCTACCTTGCTCGACAATGTGATGGTTGGTAAGTGTTTGAACTTATTTGGTTGTCAGTTTTTCTTTATTTTTCTATTTGAAAGATATTCTATTATTGTTGTTGTTATTTAATTCTTAATGCCTTTTGTTGTTTTGCATTTCTTGCTTTGGGGTTTTGGGTGGGGATGGTTGGACTATGGAAGCCAACAGGAAAGAAAACTAGGAGCCTTTGATCTTAATTTGGTTGCTCAGTTTTGTTTTGTTTCTTGCTTACTGTTTCATTGTTATTAAAATATTCAGTCTGTGCTTCTTTTGCCCCAGGACAAAGAGCGGCCACGGCTGAGATGCCAACCATCCCATTGTTGACCAGGGCTGAACGTCTGGCATCGTCTTTCATCATTGATGGTGATGTGGGAAGTGATGGATTCAGGTATGGAGGTTCCACAGTGATGGAGGCCGCCTCCTCATCTTCAGCTGGTGCTTCTGGTGACGCTTGCAACCCCTTCAACGCAGAGGCCAAACCAAGCATGGACCCCAAAGAGGAACAAGGTCACTTTCCAGGGTCTCCAAGGAACTTTGGGGGTTTCCGTCTGGATGGCCGCAGCAGTTCTGTATTTGTAAATATGTATTATACATGCAATATATAACTATGTAATATACCTTTTCTTCTGTTTGTGTATTTGAGGCTGCAATAAATTAATTTTAAATTCAAGATTGCTCTCTAAATATTTCTTCTTTTAGATCTTCTTTCTTTCAGATTTATTTTGGTCTGATTTTTATTTATTTATTTATTTATTTTGGTGTCTCAGAAACCTCAGAATTGTCTCAGCATTTTAATGGGGTCTGTAGACTTTCTACCTTGCACGGCAATGTGATGGTTGGTAAGTGTTTGAACTAATTTGGTTGTTAAGTTTTTTTCCCATTATGATGATATTATTGTTATTTAATTCTTGGATGGATCCCATTCAAGAGGCGGAAAAACCCAGGTGACTGCAGTCAGTGGACAACTTGGAGGCGGGAAGAAGTGAGTGGACCAAGGACTTGTCCACAAGAAGAGTCCTAGCTGAAGGGAGAGGATTTGGGGTCTCTTGAGGTCACCTGGTGTCCTTGGTTGCGCTGCATTTCCTGCTTTGGATTTTTGGGTGGGGATGGCTGGCCTTGGAAGCTAAAAAGAAAGAAGAGTGGGAGCCTGGTAATTTTAAATACTAACTAGGTTGCTAAGTTTTATTTATTTATTGCTTCTTGCTTATTTATTATTTTATTATTAAAATATTAAATTGGTGCTTTTTTTGCCCCATGATGAATAACTGCCATCAGTGAAATCCCAAAACAATTGGAGCCCCATTTCGACACCCATGGCATTGACAACCTCACCATTGGTCAATTGCCAAAGGCCGCTTTCCTTGGAAGAGCTGACATCCAATCTGGCTGACGGCGTGAAGAACCACAATCCCCCTGTGAGGCAGGACCTTGACGTGGTTGTGGGGCTTGTGTGCTCAGAGGAAGATGAGGGCTACACCTGAGGTTCAACCATACTGGACAGGACTCATGAGAGGAATCGGACAAAGAATGCCTCTCCCATAAACAATAGGGAAAAACACACATGACAGAAACCCAGGTGGGCTCTCCAGTTGCCCAGGTCAGGAAGGACCATGCCAGGGGTTCAAATTCCTGGACATCTGGTGGAAAATGACCTGCAGGACTCAAGACTGCTGGCTGAGCATCCAGGGGTGGCAGCTGCTGAACCACTGGAAGGAAAGTGTTTTTCCGACTCTCCCCAAGATGGCAGCCAGACTCAGCAGGGTTTTTTCCCCTGCTCCTGGTTTCCTCACCTGAATTGGTTCTTTTCTCCCCTTTTTTCTTTTTATGCACTTTTTAATCTAGTTTTATTTAGCTTTGGGGGCTTGTTTGTCATTTTTTTCCCCATTTTTTGTAGGTTTTGAATGAAATAAAAAATTGATTTAAAAAAAAGAAATGATATGAGAAAAAGTACAAATGAAATCTTAATGAAAGATTCACATTGTGGCTGCCATTCGTTTGTTCTTATATAAAATAGGAGAGCTTGTTAAGTCCTCCTGCTAAAAATTATATATTTTTCTACTGGATTTTACTTATGCACTCTATTAGGAAATCATAGATATTGTTTTAAAAACTGGGTGGTATTTTTAAAACAGCATCAAAGTAGCTTTGTCTGAGAGTTGGTATAAAGGTTGCATCCTGAAAAAATCCTATTTCTTCAACTATCCTGCCTGTATTAATGACAATATAGAAGAATAGATGGAGAAGATGCTGCACAGGGAATAATCAGATAAGGGGGGAGGGGAGTCCCCAGGTGCATAATTGGCAGAGAAAGAACCTCAGAAAGGACCCTCCCTCATTTTTCAGGCTTTCAAAAGCGTTGGTGGGAGATTTGAACTTTCAGACATGCAAGGTTCTCTTATGTGCCCTTATGATGTAGAGTTACATCATGTTTCCCATCTGGTGTACCTGGGAGAAGATGGGGGGGGCTTGATACCTAGTGTGCCAGGTGAGTCTGGCCAGAGCCGGATCTGGGAGGTCTGATGTGGCTGCTGCAGACTTTTGAGGTGCTTCTGCTTGTTTTCTCTCATAGTCCGACTTTCTCAGTTGGCTGTAATGGTTTTTCTCCACATGGTAACTGTGGTCCATCTCAGCCAGTTCATGCTGCAGACTCTGGAGCTGCTTCTTAACCTCTGGCGGAAGGTTCCTCACCTCTTCAAGGTCTTTCTCAGAGTCACCTTCTCTTGGTTGAGATGGACACTTGGCTAGTGACCTCATGCAGTTCTTTGTGGAGTTCTTCAATGTATTTCACCAAAGATTTCTTCTCTAGCTCTAACTGATGGCATGATCTTCTGCAGGTTTTCTGCAGGTCTTCCGTTGTGGTCTGAAGTTGATCCACTTTCTCCTGGAGACAGCTGTGCTGTTCTTTCATCCATTGATTTTCTTTCTGGAATTTCTGGGACTGAAAGTCAAAGGAGTCTCTCAGTTCATCAACTTGGAGGTTGGGACCATCAGTGGTCACTGAGAGATCTCCCAAGGATATTGACCATTTCTTCCTTGTTGCTCACCTGTTTGAAAAATGGAGAGACACAGTCACATCCTCTCTCCATTCAGGGCCAATTTTGCTAACCTGCCTTTTCCACTCTGTTTTTTTCCTACGGTTTTGGAGTCCATCATCTTCTGCTAGAATGAGATGCAGGAGGAGTGACGACCCAATGGACAATCTGCAGAGGAGTCTCCTGCCAAAGGATCCTTTAGATATAATCTACCCAGATCGGTTCTCAGCTACAAGCACCAGGTTCAAAATATGATATTTGAGGGCACATCAAGTGAAAACCAGCTCTCTGGAGATGTTCCTAATGCTGGGAAAGGTGGAAGGGAAGAGAAGGAGGGGACAATTTGGGGTAAGGTTAATGGATTTGATTACTGTATGGATGGGTGAACTTTAGGGAGACCTGAAAATCCAGACTGGGGACAGGTCATCCATCTACCTCTTTGGCCACTCAGAGTCCACACAGTTTCAATGCTGTCAATCAATGCAGATGAAGCTCCCTGGAGAAGTCGGTAATGCTGACATGGGTGAAGGAAAGAAAAGAAGGGAAGAATCACTAGTAAGCAGCTTTAGTGGGGATGGGGGAAGGTTGGGAGACCTGAAGGACCAGGTTGAGGCAGATCTACATGGAGAAAATCATCTATGGGCTGCTAGGCATCAACATTCAACTTGATGACATAGAATTAATCCATCAATCAGTCAATCAATCAGACAGGCAGGCAGTTGACTTACAAGGTCCCTTTCAGCTGTAGGCTTCTATTGACTACTTCCTTTTCATTGTCATCTTAACCTACAAATAGGGAACAGATGAGGGTTAATACAATCAAATGACAATAGCCTACATCAGTCATTAAATTACACGACAACAACTTTGTGTAAAAACCACAGTCTTGGCCCCTTTAACACATGGATGGTCTTCAACTCCCAGAATTCTGCATGCTGGCTGGTTGGAGAATTCTGGAAGTTGAAGTCTCCCCCCCCCCATACCTTAAAGAGGCCTAGTTCAAGAAACGCAAACAGAATCCCTCAATACAGATCTCTCTTCAAACTCTCCTGACTTCCCATTTGATTCCGAGTCCAACTCAAGGCATGTCGTTGCTCAAAACCCTCCAAAGGAGTTGATATCGGCTCTCCATCAATTTGGATGTCTTTGTATTGCTATGATTTCTGATAACAGGAAAAGGTGATGACCATTGGAATTAAGTCAACCCCCCCTAAGTACTTACGAGTCCCATATCTCAGCCACGAAAGCCAGGTAGGTGTCCTGGAGCCAGTCCCTCTCTCAGCCTTCACAAGGTTGGTCTTGTGGGAATGAAGGAATCTTAGATAGGTTCACTGCCTTGAGCTATTTAGAGAAATCATAAAGGCAGTATAAAGACCTAAGTAATAAAAAATGAAAATAAATGAATACTTCAGTTGCCAAGCCAAATGTGTTTGGGAAATAACTACTATCTGGCCAATGGAATCACAGTTTAGGTTAATTTCCCCAAATCATTAAGCAGGTCAACTTCTAGCTTTGGGGTCACAATCTCCATCCAACTCGGACAGCCTGGAGCCAATTTTTGGGCCTTAAGCCTTGCAGATTTTTTCTAGCACACTTCACTGCCAGCCAGCCAGCCAGCCCCAGCCCCTTTCCTGAGACAAGGACCTTCGACATGGTGGATGAGGAGTTTGGTGACAGGTATGGAGGCTGCAGACATGGCAGGTATCAGCATGTCTGTCGTGTTTGGTTGAACCTCATTTCATTCATTTCCCCCGCTCCTTAATTCTGCCTTAAAGGGGAGGGTCTCTCCCTCCTGAGGAGCCCAGGCGAGGGAGGCCCTGCGATGCCCCCAGTGCTGCCATCCAATCCAGCCACTTTCCAGGGATGTTGAGCAGAGCCTCCATGATGTGGTCCAGACTCTCCAAGGATGCTGGTGGTTGCCATGGTGAGCTCCAGCCAATGAGCTCAGGAGGAGCCTCTGACGTCACAAGCCAAGGCTCTGATTGGCCTGGACCTGAGATTTGAATAATAACCCCCAACTGCCTGCCTTCACCTGGGGGCGGGGCTTATCCATGGATGAACCGACTCTGAAGGGGCTTCAAGCCCCGAATTCCCTTCAGCCACAGCGGCTCCTTCTGAGGGGGGAACCGTTGGTCGCCTGGAGAGGTCGGGGAGCCCCAGATTCTGCCCCTTCTGTGGGGATGGAGCCCAGATTGAAATGTCGCCCCTTGGATCTGGAATGAAAGCTCCAGAGAGTCCAGGTTTTCCTCTCCAGGCCCAGATGATGAAGGGGAGCTGAGAGGGAAACACCATAAAAGATTAAATATTATTCGTATCCAAAAGGCCTTGTGAAAATGTACCTAAAGGAACACAGGGGTCTTTGCCAGCTTTAGGTGTCCTCCTCGCTGCCTGCAGAGGCCAAGTATGGCTTAAGGGCCAGAGTATAGGCTGCCCCCTACAGGCAGTGAGAGGGACCACTGAATCATGGAAAGATCCCGTGGAGGAAGGACCCTGAATGCTGACTGGAATTCTGGGAGTTGAAGTCCACACCTCTTCAGGTTGCTAAGGCTGAGAAAGACGCTCTAGTAAACCCTTCACTGGGCAGTTGGAGGGATGACCTCTGAGGTCTCTTTCGACTCCATTTGTCCATTATTCTAACTCCTCCCCTCTTTACAGAGGGCAAAAGAATCCTCTCCAAAAAGGGACTTGGGCAACAAAATGGAGGATGCGGGGTCTTTTCCAGCTTTAGCTGTCCCTCTCACTGCCTGCGGAGGCCAGGTGTGGCTTAAAGGCCAGACTGCAGACTGCCCCCTACAGGCAGTGAGAGGGACAGCTAAAGCGCAGCCTCCTCCATTTTGTGGCGGGAACCTCTAGTAGAAAGAGGGAAAGGAGGAAAATGGATGTAGTTAGAATTCTCTTCGTGGCTTTTTTCATCCCTTTTCAGACTCTGTTCTGTGTGTGGAACTTAATCTCTTCTTTTGGCTCCTTGAATAAAGTCCACCTTGGTTTAAGCCCCGGAGTTTCCTCAGGGCCTCCCTGTCTCCCCCTCAGGCCGGCTGAGCCCCTGAGTCCCAAGGCCAGAGCTTCTCCCCTCGATCCCCTCCTGGCTCCCCAGAATTAGAATATTATGAATTACCCCCATTGAAGCAAATAGCGCTGCTGTTTTCAGATGCACAAAAGGCGTTTGATAACGTGAATTATGGCAATTTATGATAAAACAGTTGAAAATGATGGATTTTGGAGACAGATTCATAAATATGATCCAAACTATATATAGAGAGACCAAGCGGGCAAAGGTGAAATGACAAAGAAAATAGATATCAGAAAAGGAACAAGACAAGGATCCCCTTTATCTCCATTATTATTTATATTGACATTAGAGGTTTTAAATAGAAAAGTGAGACAGGAAAAGGAAATAAAAGGAATGAGAATCAAAAAAGAAGAATATAAATTACAAGCATTTGCAGATGATTTGGTGTTTATCATGGAAGCTCCAATAGAGACAGCGCCAAAACTATTAGAGCAAATAGAAGATTAGCAGAATAGTAGCAGGACTGAAAATCAACAAAAATAAGACAAAAATATTAGTTAAAAATATGAGAGAAAATCAAAAGAAGGAGATGACGGAGAAACTGGACATCCAAATTGTGAAGAAAGTGAAATATTTGGGCATCCATCTGACATCAAGATGTGCAATGCTCAAGGAAGACAATCATTATAAACTGAAAAAACAAATCGAAACAGACTGGAGAAATGGAGAAACTTGCAATTATCACTAATGGGTAGAATAGCATTAATAAAAATGAATGTATTACCAAAAATATTATTTTTATTTCAAACTAGACCAATAAAACTGGAGAAAAAATACTGTACTTTGAAGAGCTGAAGAAAATAACGTGGAAATATGTGTGGCAAGGAAAGAGAGCAAGAATTAACTTAAAAATACTACTAGAGGTGGCTTGGCTTGGTGGGCGTGGCAGGGGAAGGTTACCTCAAAATCCCCATTTCCTCCTGATCAGCTGGGACTCCAGAGAGAGATAATAAATGGGGGTGGCGCCAGTCAGAGGTGCAATTTACCGGTTCCCCAAACTACTCAAAATTTCCGCTACTGGTTCTCCAGAACTGGTCAGAACCTGCTGAAACCCACCTCTGTTCCAGTCGCGCCTTAGTACTTTTTGATTGGGGGAGTGAAACTTGGAAAAATGTTCTGAGATTGATGTGGGATATCAGAATTGGGGATTCCTAGAGTGTGAGATGGTCCAATATTGTGTGGTGTGATGGAGGAAAGTGAAATTGTGGGGAAATGCCTGTTCCATGTTGGGCAAAGCCAGAAGTCTCTCTGCCTTCTGCTTGTGGGAGAACCAGAGGAATTTGTGTGGTCACTGTGAATCTTAGACTGATCTTGGTCTGATCCATCAGAGCTTTTCTTATCTCCTTAGAATGGAATTTGCAAAGGGATCCTGTTTGCAATTAGGAGCCATTATAAGACATAAAAATTGATTACCAACTGATCAGCAATCTGTGTGGTTAGAGAGCAGAACAGCTTCCATGGGTGCCTCTTCCTAGAAACCTGAAAGTGCCCCCCCTTATTCACCCCCTTGTTGGACCTGGATGAATATTATGCAGGACTGAAGGTTTGTGACCTGGTCAATGATGCAGCTGCCTTTAGACAGGATCCCCTCAACCTCCTCCTGGGGAGAGTCTCAAGGTCCCCTTTCTCTGGGCATCTTCTCCAGCCCTTCACAGATAAACCAGGCATGGAAGAGGAGCAGAGAAAATGCTTTAGGCAGAAATCGTAGAGAGGAAAATTAAATGGCCTGTAAACTGCTATTTTAATTCTCTGGTTGAGGAAAGAAAAAAACACAGTGGAAAATTCTTTACACTTTTCATTTTTTACTTTACTTTGTTTATTTATTTATTTTGGTGTGAAATACACACCAAAAAAGAAACAATCCTAAACTGAAATCCCAGACAGCTGTTCTGCTGAATTCTTTCTGCAACGGAGGTTTTTATGAGGAAATCAACAAAGAATTATATAAGAGAGATGAAGATTAATGATCCTTTGGGATAATTGTTGAACAGCCGGGGCAAATTATGGTAAGCAAATAAATCATATTCCTGTCCTAAAGGAGCTAGAGGAACAGTCACAATAGTGAAAACTGTGATGGGTCAATTAAAATTCAACCAATAAAGCCTATTGCTAGTCCCAGCCTTTTTCCTGAAACTTTGATCAGAAGAGACATCCATGTAGAGCTGAGGTCTCCTTAGTCTTCTTCCTCCATCCTACCATTGATCTGCCTTTAAGAAGGGGATTGGGGACCAGAGATTGACATGCATCCATCAAGGTCTCTGCCAGCCGATTTGGATGTAAAAACTAAATGCCGAAAGCAAAGATGCAGTCAAGAGTTCGGGTGCTGCAAAGCAGAGCGCCAGTCTTCATGAAAGGGGATTTCCATGAAGGCTTCTATGGCCTCCAGAAGCTTTTTTAGAAAATCCGGGGTGGGTGAGGGCATCTCAGGGCTTTCTCTAGGCTTCCTGCTGCCCTCCGTCCTCTTCCCCCTCTCCATAGAAAAGGCAAAGGGCCAAAGGTGGAGGAGAAGACATTCTGGGCAAGGAAGGATGGACTGGGATCTCTCCTGATCTTAACTTTAATTTTAAAAGTTAGGTGTAGGTAGATGACTTGTGACCCTTCAGATCTGTTTCCTTACGGGGACCCTCCTCAGCCCCTCCAACAAGGAGGGGGCTCCCAATGCGAGGCCTTCCTTCCCTTGAAGGGCTGGGCAGACCCCCAGAGGGAGCCCCCTTGAAGCAGCACCAGACAAAGTCAGCCCAGGAAAGGTTTCCTGGCATGTTGTGATATGTCCTATTCATTGATCCAGCGGTGGGGAGATGCTGGGGGTGCCCCCTCAGAGACCCCTCAGCAACTGGGGACCTTTGAAGAGAAGCTAAAAGGGGGATTCTGAGAGGCCTCAGGCAAAGTCTCTGGCGTAAAAGAAGGGGGGAAATGGAGGTGGAAAATGGAGGGAAGGACCTCCAAGGTTCCCAAGAAGCTCAGCACACAGAAGGTCTTTAACCTGCTAACTGTCTTAAGGAGGGGGAAGGGAAGAGAAAGGGAGGGGGAGAGGGAGAGAGGAAGAGAAGGAGGAGGAGGGAGGGAGAGGAGGGAAGGAGGGATGGAAGAGAAAACGAAGGGAAGGGATGCTTTAGTGGCTTCCTATCCTTCAACTGTGAAGACTGCAGGAGTTTCTTGCAGGCCCCTTTGAATCTCTCTCTGTCCAAGGTTAATGGGATCAAGTGGATCTATCAGGTCCCCCTCAGTCCATCATCTCCCCTCCTGCTGCTTTCTGTCCTGGATCCTCTGGCCCACTCCTTTCATAACACTGACTGGCTTCCCTTCATTTCCTGGGAGATTTCTCTTGGGAGGTGGGACATGGGAGGCAGACGGGGCAGCTGGGAAGGAGAGAGGCTGTCCGGTACATGATGTGTGAAAAGATCGGATTCCAAAGGCAGAAAATCTCTTTCCCCCAAAGTGCCCAACTGATGGGGAGAAGGAAGGAAGGTGGAAAGAAGGCCAGGGGTGGGGTAGGGCTCTGTGGCCCCTGCAGAGTTCCCCATTCACTCCAATGGACCCCAACACTCTCTGTGGCCCTTTGGGATTTCCTCGCCCCAGAACCCTGATTGGCCCCTGGAGTAACAATTGCACAAGAGGAGAGCTGTGCCCATGGCCAGAACCAAAGCCCCTTTGCCTTTGTCAACAGCAGCTGGGCTGAGGCCTGGGGGCTCCCGAACCTCCCCTCCCAGCCCGATCTCGGGGTCAGGTTTATTGGGAATGGAGGTGGGGGGGGTGATTGAGACAACTTGGCCCTTCTTCACTCCCACAGCTGTAGACAGCAACATCTGGACGAGGGGCTTCCTCTGCCTTGGGGAAGGAGAGAAAAGATGCAGCTGCTGAGATTCGGGGGGGGGGGAACCCACTTATTGTTTGAGTTGAGGCGGACCCGGTTCCTCCCCATCCAGACCTCCCGGCTCTGGGA